CATCAGCATATTCTTTATAATGTCCTTAATTTCATCATTCATTCCATAGCCAAGGGGCATACAAGGAAATTGCACTTTCCCCCATATCTGTCAAAAGCATATATATACACATTCACTGGGCACTTTACTATGTCCCCCCTATTCAGTGTATCATCTTCTGATGGCTACTTCCAGCAGGATAATGCTCCATGTCACAAAGCTCAAATCATCTCAAACTGGTTCACTGTACTCCACAGTCCCCAGATCTCAATCCAATAGAGCACCTTTGGGATGTGGTGGAACGGGAGATTCGCATCATGGATGTTCAGTGGACAAATCTGCAGCAACTGTGTCATGCTGTCATGTCAATATGAACCAAAGTCTCTGAGGAATGTTTCCCACACCTTGTGTTCAAGGTGCAAGGTATAAAGAGTGTGTTCTGAGTATCCGAAAAGAACGCGAAAAAGTTGAAATGTACTATATACCATCTGTTATCTTCAACACAACATGGTGTTGGCTTTTGGAAGAGTGATGACAGCATGACATGGCGAGTCATCATCATCAGTTTTTGCATACTTCATTTGCACAGTGTGCTATCATAGCTCACAGTGAAGATAGGGATGCTTGTGCAGTGATGGATGTACACAGCGAGAGATAGAAATGCCTGCTGAGACACGTGTTACTGATCCATCTGGATAAACTGTACAGTGCATCATGTCAGAGTATATATAAGATATGCAATGAGGTTTGCATGTGTGTACATGTGAATGCAAGTTATTACACTCATTGGCAAGCCCCATACAGCTGTTTGAATCTTTAACACATCTGTCCAAAAGTACAAATTCCCACCCACAGATAAAGAGACAGCACTTGTGTAAATATATCAAGTCTCACCACTAATTGTGAGCAGTTGTTCAGTTAGGGTTTTCGGTTTGATTGATTGTTCTCTAGTGTGATGTTATAATGTGCTAACGAGATTTAACTCTATGTAATGTGGGACATTCAAAACCGGTCCCACATTAATGAATGGCTTGAGTGTGCAAATCAGAGTGTGAGGGTTTTCACTAATCATGCATGGTGATTAGAAATCTGTGTGCTTCTCAATGGTCATAAGAACATTTCATTCTAAAACCATGAGCATTATTTTGATATAAAAGCCTAAAGTTGCTCCCAATGGGTAGTGTTTATGAATGGGAAGCAAATTATGAAGCGCTTTGTCCATTAAGGTACTAAATTTAGGTTGAATTCTTCACCATGCTCTTTGACTTTGTCAAGCACTGACTGCTGCCACAAAGCTGGAAGAACATTTTGGTCTAAAATATAATTGAAATATGATTTCTCACTCAGCATACTTCTGGCCACATTTGGCCACCGTATGTTAAATTCAGTATTTGCCCAAAACTGTTTGGTGGATGTGAGGTTTACAAATAATAAATACCTCACAACACCAACTTGTGCACAACACCACAAATGTGCTCAAAAAATGTAAAGCTTGTGCTTGTTTTCATCACAATACAATTTATGCCAAATTTTGTTTAACTCTTGCTTACAAATGTCACACTGTGTTCCATGATGGGGAAAAAGTGGTGGTGAAATGTGATGATGTGGTGATGAAATACTGAAGTGAAGTGGTGAGTATGGGAGGAAATCCGGGGAGTTTATCAAAACAATAAACCATTTCAAACACCCAGGAGAAATGACATCTGGATGTTTTATAGAGAAAATATCCCATGGCCAATTTCACTGACCAAATGTTTAATCTTCTCCTGTCTAGACAATGACAAAGTTTGCACTTCTCACTTTGTGAGAAGAGTCAACAAGCGGCATTACACAGTTTTATGCTCCAGCTGCTGTTGGTGGCATTGTCATGCACAAGAGCACAAGTTACATGAAAACCAAAAAACTGGTGGTAATGTTAGCAGTGCTCACTCACACAACGCCATACACAGTCTGCCATCTGCTCTGTAGGGTAAAAACTGGGATTCATCTGTGAAGAGAACACCTTTCCAAAGTGCCAGACGGCATCGAATGTGAGCATTTGCCCACTCAAGTCGGTTACGACGACGAACTGCAGTTAGGTCGAGACCCCGATGAGGACGACGAGCATGAAGATGTGCTTCCCTGAGACGGTTCATTACAGTTTGTGCCGAAATTCTTTGGTTATGCAAACCGACTGTTGCAGCAGCTGTCCGGGTGGCTGGTCTCAGACGATCTAGGAGATGAAGATGCTGGATGTGGAGGTCCTGGGCTGGTGTGGTTCCATATGGTCTGTGGTTGTGAGGCCGGTTGGATGTACTGCCTTTGGAGACAGCTTATGGTAGAGAAATGAACATTCACTTCACGGGCAACAGCTCTGGTGGACATTCCTGCAGTCAGCATGCCAACTGCACGCTCCCTCAAAACTTGTGCTTGTGCTGTGTGTTGGAACTGCACATTTTGGAGTGTTTTTTTTATTGTGGCCAGCCTAAGGCACTCCTGTGCAATACCCATGCTGTCTGATCAGCATCTTGATATACCACACCTGTGAGGTGGATGGATTTGTGAACAATATTTGAGAGAAATAGGCCTTTTATGCACATAGAGAAAGTCTTAAATCTTGAGTTTAGCTCATGATGAATGGGGGCAAAAATAAAAAAGTCTTGCGTTTATAATTTTGTTCAGTGTATATTCAGGATTTTTTATTCTCAGCATGACACAGCTTGACTTCCACGGTAGCGAATATCTGGAAATGCTATGGCATGTTTCCATTCGATAGTTGAGCCTGGAGGGCTGTGTAACTCCAATTTGCGGCAGTATGAGCCACTCACCAGCTACTTGAAGTCTTTAAGTAGGCTGCATATTTCATTGACACTAATGCAAAATTATTACAAGAGAATGAAACATAAACTTAAAAGTAGTATGCACAACCTGTATTTTTTATTAACAGATGAGAAACAACCAAGGTCCCAAAAGCTGGTGGATGCATTTTCCAATCCACTTACGGAAGTGAACCTCCTCTTTTATCCCTCTACATTGCCAGCCTCCTCCTCTAAAGACAGAGGTCATCCATCCATGAAGAGGTAAAATGGGAAGGTTGGCCAATGCTTCTGCCTTTAATGTGTTGGCTATTTTTTCTTTAGCCACAATGTCTTTGTTCAAATGGTATTTGAAAATCTCAAATACCAACTGTAAACTTTCTAGATGACAAAGTTTGTTCGCAAGTTGTGCTTGACGTTTCTAAAGCCTGTTGCACTACAGAGTCGAGAATTGCATGACATCCACTACCAACTGCCAGGTAATGCTCCTGAATTTTCACAGAAGTAGATACATACAGTATATCTCCACTCACTGACCACAACGCGGTCCAGTTATTATTTTCAATGATGTGATGGGATATACTTAAAAAGGGGGATTTAAGTCAGCAACTGTGGTTATTCTCAGTTTTCCGTCGATGGATCTAACCCCTGCTGTCTCGGTGACAGCGTCTGGGTCAGGTGCTCTTCCAACGCTGTTCCACCTTCCTCCCATCCTGACACGCGGGGTCCCAGGGGCCAAAACTGGGCTGGGAAACCCGGCGTCGGTGAGGAAACTTTTGCTTGTCAACCTAGTGTGAATATGGCTAATCTTCGCATGCTGCGCCGCACTTCAAAACCAAACACTATGAACTTAACTCTTTGTATGGCCCTGATCAATGTCAGATCAATCGCCAACAAAACATTTGTGCTGAATGACTTTCTACATCCCATAAATTGGACTGAGACATGGCTTCATGTTGGTGAGTCCGCCACTGGCGGTGGAGGACTTGCCCCTGTGTTTAAATCCGCCTGTGACCCATGACCACTCCTCAGAGTAAGCTAATATCCTTTGACCAAACGTCTAATGTCCTCAGTGGTAGGGGTGACACGGAGTCTAGTTTATTTATCGGTAGGATTATCGAGAGGAACTTCAATAGTTACAATTACCGCTGCGGCAAAGCTAACAAAGCTAACCAGCTGGGATCATCACAAACATGACAACAGAATTACTGAACCTGCCGTTTATGTGGAACAGCAAAACTAACACCTACTCACCTGTCCAGCAGAAACAGAGCAACCTCAGCGTCGGTTTTCATTCCTTTCAAATCTCGTAGATTTATCCAGCATTGAAACCCCTCACAGATGTTAACACAGGTTTTCCCCTCGTCTGGTCATATAACTTGTTTCACAATTCCTCAGACATTTCCCTCAGTTTCTAAGCAATCTTCACAGCTAAAGTCCTGTAATGAATCCAGCATGTTCGAATGTACCGCTGTTTGTTTACAGTCTCTCTTGTACTGCTTCGAGCGCACCACCGCCACCTGCTACTCCTCCGAGCAGCTTTGTATGTGCTCAATTTACAGACTCAGGGGTGTGCAGGAAAACCGGATTTTTTTTCAGAGCACATGAAAAACAGAGAGCTACCTACCCATGAGGAAATATTAGCCCAATTTAACAAAAAGTGTATTGGATAAGAATCGCAAGTACCACTTTAAATGTGGTCTAAACACAAGCATCCATATATTAATGTTTATATAAATGCTTAGCATATATCTTAGTTAGCAAGGAACTCAGAATTCATTCAGGAATCAGGCATTGCTATTCTTCAGAATAGAGCAATTACAACTTATGTGTTTTTCTGTGTAACTATACTTTTAATGTACTTATAAAAGATTTGTTTTGATGCTTGTTTTGTGGTTATGAGTTTAACTGAATCTGTCATTTGTAGTGATAACAACTTACATGAATAAATTTAGTAACATGCGACCAAGATTAACCATTGGATTGATTTCAGTAATAAATCAGAAATCAGCTACTCTTTGTTTCACTCCAATTCAAGCATATTTTAAATGAACTCTGGAAAAGTAAAGTAAAATAATACAAAATAAAATGAAAGATGACCTTTATAGAATGCTGTTAGCTTCTGGTTTTATGCAATCTTCAGCTCATCTTTGAGCTCCACCTGAAAGGATGTCAAATACCGGTTTCTTGTTTTTAAGTCTTAATTCAAAACAAGAAAGAAAAGAATCAGTTGCTCAAGTTTATTAGAAAGTCTAATTCATTTTTATTTCCCCTACACCCAGATGAAACACAAATTTCAGTAAAACCAAATAAAACAAAAATAAAAAACAGCTTGACAAGTACATTCCATTTCTCAATAGCTAGAAAGTGTGTGTTTGAGGCAGTGGATCCAGAAGTGCACTTAACATTACATTGAAGTTTTAGCATCCGAGCAGTTGGTCACTGTCATTTAAATACACACATCGCCATACAAGTTTTGTGTAAACATGGCTGTGGATTCTGTGACTGTAAAATAGTGAAGGAATGGTTCCACAGGGATCAAGTGATTTTTAAAACAATATAGATTAAAAAAAGCAATTGTTGCTATGTGAATGTGGAATGTAAAAAATATAAAAAAGATTACTGCTTTGAATAATGCCAGTCCTGCGTGTATTGATTTATTGCTAATCTCTGTCCAAGATATTCATATATGTTTCTTGCTTAATCATAAAACTGCATTTTAAAAAATATGAAAAGTCATGATGTCATTGTTCCAGAAAACTTGACTTTACAAAACTAAATGCACTCAACAACTCAATCTGTAAAACAAACATACGATGTAGCACCAGTAGGTTAAAACAAATCATGCAGCAAATCGTGTTGCCTTCCATCTTGTTGTGAAAAAGACTACTTCAAGAATTTGGGGGATAAAGTCCATTTTCGTGGAATCCAGTGCAGCCACCATTGACGTGGTAATGCATCCTAACAGTATGGCCACTTTGGATGGTTCTCCTCAGAATACCAATAACAGAGGTGAAAGCTGGCCATGCGTGACACTTTTGTCCTATGTTCTTATTGCAGCGATGACTCCTTGGTTGATGGGTGCTGGTGGTGAATGGAAATGAAAATCATGGTTAGCCATTTATGTAAAGGTACTTTTTTACATATTAAGATTATGTCTCAAACCCTTTAAATAACTTAAACTATCTTCTGGCAGTCTAATACTGCATGCACCAAATTATAACTGTTTATTGAAGTAGCATATCTTTACCAATGTTATCTGCAAAATGTATGGAAGCGCATGTATTCACAGAACAATTAGAGGCAATACTTCAAAATTATTACTTCTCTGTGTCATAATTATGATGTGCTAATTGCTAATTGCACTTTGTGATTGATTCTCTATACTAGCATTTCTTGTAATGAGACATGGATCTCATTACTAATGCATAGTGAGTAATCATAGCTACAGCAGCATTGCTAATTGCTATATTTCAGTCGTGCAAGAATGCACTTAATTGATTAGTCAAATCGCTGATTGTGAGTGGTGTGAGTTAATTATCAGACAGGACGAAACCTGTCTGTCATCACCACCTTTCAGCATTCAGCAGCACATGGAATCTGTGTGGAGAATACCAAGTACTGCTGAGAGTTTAGTTTTTATGGTGGCCCTCACTTTCTCTCTATCTCTCTCTACTATTCTATAACTGGGTATTAAGGCTTATTAGTGTGTTGGGAAAGTAAATAGTGAGAGATCACCTGAAACAAAACTTACATAGTCCTGAACAGGCATGTAAAAATACTTGATTATGTAAAAGGCCTGCATTCAAAATCCAACTTGTATGTATCATCAGCAAAAGTAAGGGCCTTGATTGACATTTATATCACATCAAGAGATTGCTAATACACTACAGTGTGTAAGCAGCACTTCACTGTCGTAGCTGGTTAAGGTGCCGCTAGTTTTAACTTCATATGCATTTTTTATTTTTTTTATATACATTTACATTTACAGGTAAAGGCCAGTGGTTTCCAATCTAGGGATCGGCCAATTCAAAGAGACACAAGATAGATCTGAAGGGCTGTGAGGTGATTAATGGGGTAAGAGAGAAAACAGTTCTGTATACATTTTCTATTGTTTTCTTAGTTGTATTTTCTTTTTCATGAATATTTCCTTTTCAGGATTCTAACACTTTTTAAAAGGAGACTATCTGAGAAATTTAGAGGGGAAACGTCTTTTTGGTGGAGTTACTGACAAACAGACACACATCTGAAATGTGGCAATGGGCACCAAATGCTTGTTTGTAGGGTTTACAAGCCAAAACTCTAATCTTAAACAATGTGTTTTATAAACATCCATACGTGTTTTAATCTTTATCTGAAAAGTAACCCGTAACTAAATCTGTGAAATCCATGTGTCTTTGTAGTGGAGTAGAATTATAAAGTACCATAAAATACAAGTACAGTTACATCAAAATTGTAACTATACTTAATTATTTTTCACCGCTGTGTGAATCCACAAACAGACAGACTAATTCATCTTCCAGTGTGCTGATGGAATGTGTAGAACAATTAAACTCAGCAATTGCTGAGATACTAAATCAGAATTATGAGACATGGGGCTTTTTTCATGGCATACTAAATTATAAGAAAACATCATGTTTTTTCTTTGATTAATGCAATTAGCTTCAACAGAAATGGTCACAATGGTTCTCAAACCTTCAGTAAAATAGTTCATGCCCCACCACCACCACATGTAAACAGACTCCCCAAGGGGGCCCGCCAACAGTTTAAGGACCACTGGGACGCTAAAGCAGTTTGTCAGCATGACTCATACTGTATAGGCTACTGTAATTGATCATTTGCATCCCCCAGGAATGGTAAGGGAGTTAAGTTGTATTGGCAAGTTTGCATGCCAACTCCAATTCCAAGACCTTGGTTTATTTGGTGTGCTGTATCAGATAACTGTCAAAATTTAAATTAACAGCACAATAAAGGGATTTTATATGTTGTGACTGCTTTTTTGATGAATCAAACATGACTCCCTATGACTGACTTCTATTGTACTCATTGGGAGCATCATCATGTAACCTAACCTAGCACGATCCACAGTGCCGCCTACACTCGGTGTTTCCCTTCATTTGTCTGTGCGTAGACAATAACTGATCAATGAAACTGGGAGATTATTGCTATAAACAGGACATGTACCTGGTTTTCCACAAGCCTTCGCACACTGCTCATGCGTGTCAAAGCGATTCTGGTTTCCTCCGCAGCCTCCATACCAGAAGCGTGTACAGCTCTTGCTGGGAACATCATAGTGCCACTTGAGGACAAATTTGGCACAAGTACCTTCCTCTTTGGGAAGCTGGCAAATGTCCACGGCTGTAGAGGCCGCTGGGAAGGAAGTGACAAGGAATAAGAAACAGGGAAAGTCATTACCATTACCATTACTACATAATGACTAGAATGAAAAGATCATAACAGTATTTTCCCAGTGACCAGTTTGTGTTGTAGAATGGAAACCAGTATGATGCTTATAAATGTTTGAAGAAAAAAACAAAAGCATTTCCGTCTCAGCACACTATTATTCTTTCATAATCATGAGATATAGCACATTTGGTTTAGAGTAGACTTTGTATTGCTCTGAGTATCTTGTGCTGATTTACTTTGATGCTGATGAGGTATTGACTAATTGAACTTGCTCTTAATGCTGACCGCTGCCAAAAAAAACAATGAACTCTCCGTTCATTTTCTATGTCGTTATAACTTGGCTTGCTCGTGTGACAAAAGCATAACCTTCTAATTTTTCCATGCTTGGCTTTTTACTTGTTCCGTCAGTCATTTAGACCATCTGAGGGGCGGTGGAGGAGGTAGGTGGATTTGTAGTTGAACACAACGGACTTGTTGTTTTGCAAAGTGAGAACAATTCTTAACTGAATTATGTAACAGTGATATAACATGCACCACTGGTGACTTGATGTCCAAAACAAATGCCCAACATTAGAGGTGATCTGAAAGGGTTTGATTCGAATCATGTGGATTTGGACGTGGATTTGCTTGTTTAAAACTAGGCCAAGAAGGAAGTGTTTTTTCTTTCTTTTTGGCTAGCATTTGAATAGCATACGTGCACCCACATCAAAGTCAGTTATGTCTTCAAAACAGGAGTTAGAAAGGAAGGAAGAGTAACACAATACTGTAGGCCTACAGAAAACTCACCAGGAGCCGGGAGTATCTCCACCTGTTCAGCCTTCTGAACTTTTGGCTGAGGTTCTGGAACTGTGGAGACAAAAATATTTAAAAAATTCAATGTATTTTCAGCTGACAGGATCAGACTTTCACCAGCTGCTGAAAAACTATTAGGAAGATTTGCTACATGAGGTCAAGTGCAATGTGGTCAGAAATAACCACAGACATTTACTCAGATGCAGTCCGCATCTGTCACAAATTATCCATATTGGCAGGTTTCTTTTCTACTTTAACTTCCCAGCACACTTATCAATCTTCTGTATATATATGCAAGCCACATTTTCCCAATAGCTCATGTGATTAGTGACAGTTTATAAGTTAATTTTACTATACCCTCAATATATAAATCTATAAAGTTGTATCAGGAATTATAAAGGAATAAAATACCTTCAGCTTCTATGGATAGCTTGTATTTATTTGACTGTTTACAAACCCCTGCCTTCTTAATTACTGTTGTTATGCCGGTCAAGCTTTCCATTCTTACTCTGCACATATGCAGTTTACATGATAATGGTGGCAGATTTTCCATTGAAAATTCACAGTAAATTCTTGAACAATGTCTTCAGTTATATAAGTGAATAAAGCATGCGTCTCATTTCCAATGATCATGGAATGACTGTCACTAGTAGATTTTTATCAGCTATGTAAATAAAAGAGCAGCATTGTTTGTGTATTGCAGGCTACATCTAGTTAGTCCTATAGAACAAAAGTGTTGTAGACATTTATTTGTTCTAACATGCCATTACTATAGGAAAACTTGGTCAAGCAAGATAAAGGACTTTTAAAACAGTATGCTTCACTTTTACAAGAGAAAATGGTTTTTATTTGTTTTTTTTGTTTTCAAATTTGGCCCGAGTTGCAGGATTGTAATCTTCCCCAAGCCAAACTTGGCTAGTAACTTGGCTCCCACATAGTGAATGTTCCAACAACAAACCTCTATAATCCTCTATAATTAGTTAGATCACATGTCCCTTGCCTCTGGATTAAACACTGGGTTACTACTGTTGGTAGCAAGTTTACCAGGCATGCTAGGCTATGCAGCGTATGTTAACAGATAAGCAGTTTCATCCAATTTTGTTTTTGCTTTTTGGAATGGTGGATTTAAAAAGCCACCAAATATCACTCATATAGCCTCATGCACGCCATTTCAGCATGTGAAGAAATCCAGAGCTTGACAGGCCTGGTGTGCCTAGTTACGGTCTGATAAGCTATGATTGGGCAAATGCTGCTCTGAAACAAGGTTTAGCAAACCATCATTTGTAGGTTTTATATCTGAAGTTGACACTCATGCTGCATTATATCACACCAGCACACCAGGTGATGTCACATTTCCTTTTGACAACCACTTACCTGACCTCATGCAGTTTTTCAAGCAGAGGGCCTCAGTGTCGAACCTATTTTCATTGCCTCCACAACCTCCAAACCAGAACTGTGTACAGATCCCGTTCTTTTTGTCAAAGAACCACTTAGCCTGATAGTCTTTACACGGCATTCCAGGGTCATAGTCAAGTGAGCATGGGTCTGCAAATTCATTAACTAGAACATGCAAAAAGAAACAAAAACAACAGCAGTGATGGAGGACAGACACACAGAGAGGAGGAGTTTGTGTTAAGATTAAATGAACAACTATGTGAGGCATACAGCATTTTCTGTGTGCTGTTAAAGATGTTGCAGGTAGTTAGAAGGGTCTAATGGGGTCACATGAGTCTTAGAGCTGATATGGTTCATTCTCACAGGGCAAAGGAAGTGGCATTCAACAAAATGGCATAACATGCTACAGATGGCTTGGGGTTCTGGCATTATTTGGAGTTTGGACTTTTGAAAATTACAATAAGTCAGTAGAAAGGAATACATAGGTTGGCATAGATTAATTGAAAAGTTAGTTTGTTATAATGACAGCTTCTATTGATGTTAGTTGATTTAGTCATCTGGGATCTGCATGGCTGTGTGGTCCAGGTTATCTGCATGTGACCAATCCCAGAAATTAACCCCACATATACTTCCTTACAGATAATTATGACACAAATCCGTCTTGGCTGCATTGTGTTTTAATTCCTTTCTGGGACAGCATTGTGTAAAATGCAGCAAGTCTATTTTATAATCATAAGTTAATGAAAGAAGGACAGGTGAAGAAGCTTGTCTATTCAAAAACTCCTGGATTTACAGCCAGTATGGAGTTGACAAATAACACATTTGAACCATCAGGTTTTATTTATGTGACTAATATTCTGTCTAGGGAACCCAGCCAACTCTATAAATACCATGAGCATTAATGCACCAGGCAAATATAGAGTAAATATTTAATGGATTTGTGATTAAAGTTTATAGACAGCACATTCTTTAAGCCTTTTTGGTTCCCATTGCAGTGCATTTTTGTTCCGATCTGTGGCTGATGAGGCCAGAGGTCAGCAGAAATAATATAAATCCAAAGATGTTTCATTTTTGCTGGCAATGAGCACAGCCATATGTACACTCTTAGTTCCCCAAAGCATGGGGTAGTGTGCACTGCAGTTTGAAATAAAATAAGTGTTTTTAAAATACTAAGTTAAGCATGTTTAAAATGACAGAATGCAGGTCAAAAAACATTATGCGTACACACAAAGGAATATGCGTGTATGATGAGTCACTCACCAGTTTCTGGTTTGTCCAGTGGTGTGGTATTTACATTACCGGTGCCTTGTCTGGCTGGCTTATGCACTGGCTTAGGCTCTGCTGCTTCTGTCAAAGTGAAATCAGTGGTCATGAAGCGCATGAAGTAACTTTCAAAACTCAGTAATCATATTTCAAGTTACTGTCAACCTTTTAACATATTTCTATCTTTTGTGTTATGTGGCAGAGGAAATATTGCATATTGCTTTTTAAAATAATATGCCATCTTGTGGGTTGAAAAGGAAGCTTACAACATATTTGGTGACAGTGTGTTTAAGGACTTACTGGTAGTGATGATGCCTTTGCGGGTGGAGACAATTTGACCCTCTGCAGTGTAAGCAGTGACCACAGCATGATATGTTTGAGCACTCTCTAAGTTGTCCAAGGAAAGCTCTGCGCCTGACACATTGGTCTTCAGCACCAGGGTATGGTCGTGCAACCGTGTCACCACTACCTCAAAGTAAACAAAGAGCTTGGGGTCTGGGCTGGTCCAGCGCAATTTCAAGCTGCTGGAGGTGACATTGGAGACGTGCAGCTCATCTGCATCTGAGGGGGTAAGGTATGCACAATAAAACACATGTTCACAGTTTGCAGAAACCAACAGTAGGCCAGGAGCTGTTGTGGAAGAATGTCAGCATGACTAAGATAATTTTACTTTTCATATTCCGGTAATAACTTAAGAGAAACTTTTTCTGCTGGGAAGTGTATAACGAGTCTGAATGTAATGTGGACTGATTGCTTAGTCTGTTTTAGCTATGCATGACTCACAGTGAAGAAAACAGAATGAACCAGTCCAAATCAAACAGCACTTTGAACTGACATTGCCTCCTGAAATAGTTAACTCAAATTCCTTTTAGTACATCCAAAATCGTACCTTTGTGCTTTATTTGATGAACTGCTTGGTGATTTTCATGTTGTTTCTGATGTTTCCTATAAATGTAAAAATAAATAGTGCATAAAACTTGTCAGTGTTTCCAACAAACAGCAAACAGTGACATGGCATAAAAAATACCACAATACTTACTGCTGTTGGTGTGATGATGTGAAGGGGTTTTTTAGTGGCTGATCACTCTGGAACCACTTGCAGTTTTTGGAGACTTCAGGGGACATGTAGAAAGCATTTTCAACTGAAAAGAGAAATGACAGAACATTGTCTCTCACATGGACTAAACTGATGCAATTACTGGAATTCATTGGCTGATTTAAAGTTTCAGAAAGGCATTCACATTAATTCATTGATATTTATCTTGAACTTACTGCTGATGTACTTTGGCAGCAGTTGGGCGAAGTTCAGGAAAGGTTTGTCGTGAAAGTATGAGGTGCTGTCCAGCCGCTTGAAGAAGACATCTGAGGGCTCACTGGCCATGCGTGACAAGACACGAGCATCTCTAGCACTCAACTTCTCCCCCACACCCAGGATGACCAGGAAGTAGCCTCTGCACTTGACCTCAGTGGCAATACGCACCAGCCGCTCTTCTTCGTCTTCCACACTTCCTGTCACAAAGAGCATCAGTACTTTCCTTTCACGTTGGAGAGGCGCCTTCTCAAACACCTGTTCCACTGTCATTTCGATAGCGTTTGCCAGTGCCAGGCTACCCTCTAACTGCGGTGTCTTCTCCAGCAGAAATTTGACAATATCCTGAGCTGAGTTGTGCTCGGTCAAACCAATATCTACATGGATGGGAGAGCCAGTTTTGTTGTGGTGGAACTCGTAAGGTGCTTGCTGGATCACAGATACTCTAGCGTGGTGAACAGATGATGTGGGATTTGAAGACACGTGTAGGTGCTCCACTATGTACGCTATGTAGTGTTTAATGTCTGTAAAGATTGTTGGATAGGTGGACTCGGAGCTGTCCATGACGAAAGCCATGTCAATGTCAACGTCAGTGGTGAAAGACCTCCTATCTCGGCTGGCCGATGGGGGCACATAGTCACACATTTGGTCCGGAGAGCAGATGTCTAAAAAAATAAAAGAATATTGTAATATAACTTTCATTTCTTATTGACAAAAGATGTATTTGTGCTTAAGTCCCTGTGTTGCCATACCACTGGTTCTTTTACAATGGCTATGTCTCTCAAAGTTAAAATTTAAGGCTATTTTCCCAAACAAAAAGGTATTTCTTACCTAGGCAGACATGGCAGTTCATAACCTTTTGGATGACTGAATTATACTGTGCAGTTCCAGGTCTGGGAAGGACTATTACTTGGGCCAGGGCTGTGTTGTTGAACTGGTGTACAAAGGGAAACAAAACAATATTAAAAATACAAATGTACACAATAATTTTTTCTTAGGAGACAGACACTGTATATATGCCTGCCAAACCTATGTACTGCAAAGTTCCCCTTTGAGATATCTTTTACCTGCAGTGCTCTGCTGAATTCTCTGTCTTCACTGCTGAACAAGAACAGAGTGGCAATTCCAGCATCATGGAGGCGAAGAGCTGCATTAGTAAGTGCTTGTGTCTGACCCACTGCCCCACCAACAAAGAAGATGGCCACCTTCCTCATGAGGAAACCACTGCGCACTCTTTTGAAGGTGTTCTGGGCCACAAAGTTCATGGCCGTCTCCAGGTTACGCTTCTTATTGGTCTGCAGGTTCTGTAGTCCCTCAATTTGCTGCACCAGGGCACGCTTCTTCATTGCATCAGCAAACCGGACGACAGTGGTCACTTCACTGTTGTAGAGGGTTACAGCAACACGGGCTCCTCTTGGACAGTTACTCTCGGAGATAGTGATGTCTCTGACTAGGCGCAGGGCTGTGTTACGCATGTTGTTGAATACTGTGCGGTCAGTGGAGCTGGAGGCATCAAGGGCAAAGGCAAGCTCAGTGGGGTAGAGCGGGCATTCCTGCTGACCTAATGGTGGACACATAGGGGATTTTGTTCTGTAGTAGTGCGTACAGTACATACCCATTCAAAACAGTTATTAAATAATTATTTTTTTATATTAAATGTTTTGATACTTACCATAACAACAAGCTGGAATAAAAAACGACATAATATTTGGTGAGACATTTTTACAGCACATATAATATTTCATTATTTTTCATTGTCATGGAAGGATGTTGTTGATAGTTATTAAATTATACTTACGACAGTTTTCCCTGATTTTCTTGACCAGGTCACATTGCTGGGGACAAAGACACATTTGTAGAAAAATGTTGAAATATTTTAATAACAGGCACCGGAAATTAGTTTTGCTCTATTCATTCAATATAATTATAAACAGTTTAGTAAATGAGGACATACCACGACACCTGGTCCTCTCCGTCCTTTCAGGCCCTATGGGAACAACAACAGGCATGGCCAGCAATTAGTGAACATTAGGGGACTTCTACATATATATTAGCCTCCATTACATTCAAGCCATTTTCAAACAAGTTAAAATGCATCCCCACAACGCTGGTCTCTTTGTATTTGCAGTATACCAGAGTTTTTAAATTTGTGGTAACATTCCTGCAATGGCACACTTGTGGTGATGTGTTTTTTGCAAGCCAGCAAAGCAGCAACTCAGTATGGCAAAGCCTACACTAGTGTTGTAGTCAAAACCGCAAACCGAGACCAAGACAAGACCAAGAATTTCAGGGGCTGAGACCAAGTCGAGACCAAGACTGAATGAGGGCAAGACCGATTCAAGACCAGGAACACCCCACATTACATGACACAAATTAAAATGTGGAACGAGATCATTGGTACTTCTCAAATTGATCTGAAAGATCCACATTCCCATTAAAACAACCACATACAAAAACTAAGAGCTGAAATCAACGTAAGCGTCAAACACTCCACGTTTACCATCTCAGGGAGGGTGACAGTCGTTAAGGGTAACAACACATTTTTAATCAGGGTTATTGGTTGTACTTGAAGCAATACGTTTTCCATCCAATCAAAGCTAGGATGTTAAATAAATCAGACAGTGCACAGGCAATTTATTGATATTCCCAAAGCTATGGTCTTGACTGGTTTTGAAATAAAATACAGAGTCCTCAACGTCAGAGACCGAGACAAGGCCAAGTACAATTTCGGTCAAGTCTGAGACGAGACCAAGACCATCAATATATGGTCTTAAGACCCGTCTCGAGACCAAGACGGTCTCGAATAACACAAGACAAACATTCCGTGTATGGCATGAAGCGAGTGGTGCAGTTGCGTTTGGGGCTTGGGTTTTTTTGCTAGCTAACGGCGGAAAAAATGGTCAGTGCGCCAGGTGCATGGTTAAAAAGGGTTGTACTTAGTCTGTGAATTAGTCATAGGTGTGTTTTGGGCATAACCTGCAATACACTAATCAGAGTGTCATCTTCCAGTCCCTTTAAAAGACAGGTGAACTTGTACTTTGGCGCATTACTATTATAATGGCGGATGAGTGAATAACGCATTATTAAAACCATCAATTGACTGATTGACTGCCTCACAAAAGAGAGGGGGATATGGACAAAAATTTGGACGTGCCATAAAAACTGTCTCTGATCATAAAGCCTACCATTCCTCTCGCTCAGTGGTTTATAAGTTAAGTGTCATAACTCCACTGCAGACTGTTGACCGACCGACTTTGCTTCCCCTGTGAATCGTCTGGATCCTCACTGTGCTGCATTATTATTAACTGTGATTAACATCTCTCCCCTTCTCTGGTTTAATCATTTTGTGCTTTGTTGATGTAGGAGTGTTTTCTTTAACGATTTACTTTAATTTTTAGAGAGGCTGATGTCAGTAATTTAAAATGTTTCCATGTACGCAATAATATTGTGGGGCTTATAAGCAGCAAAACAAAAAAAAACTGTTGTTCAACTTAAAGCTTCTCATATAATTTAGATGCTCTGATGGAGCTCAGGACCAGCCGGCCAGAGCGGTTCATCATATACTCCACCAGGGCTGCCCTGCTAATGCACGCATGTACAAACAGGACCAGCCTCTAATAAACCTCCTAGCAGCATCACAGCCACTGATCACTATGGCAGTACTACTTTAAAAAGGCTGCAGAACACACACTGAAATTGTCATGATTGAACTACCTCACATCACAGGAACCTTGAGATAAAAATACTAAAATCCTCACTGAGACAGAGAACTGTCTAACTGCTGCTCAGGGTCAGCTGGCTGTCATGGGAGTACACATAATAAAAAAACTGATTAAACACCTCTCCAAACAAAGAACGTAACCTAAGAGAGCAGAACCGATCATCAACATGGATACAAATAAAATAATAAATAAATTACTAATAAAAGCAAAATTTTTGAAAAAACTACAAAAACATAGCAGCAGTGCCACTATTTCATATCAAGCAAATGAATGGCAACACAATAAATAACACGCCGTTTTCACCAGACTGTTTCAATGTGTTGTCTAGTAAGAGGTGAAGTGGTAGGAATCTTGTCGATGAGCATCATATCTAGCGAATCACTGAAGACACATTCTCCCTGGAACGAGTCAGTTACTTTTTTACATTTACTTGCATTTCAGCTAAGACCTTCAACTTTTTTCTCTCTGAACTTTTCAGTCCGACCCTTAACGTTTTTAAACTCAGCTTTTCCATTTACTGTTGTAGCTCGTTTTCACGCTGTCAGTGTCACTGACAGCACATATAGTGTTATTCAGTCTCACCACCCAAGACTTTTACCAACTGCTGCACTTGTGTATGTGATTGACTGACAATAAAGGATTTTGATATGATTTTTGATTGGCACCATGTCATTTATATTTACACAACAAGGGTAGAATTTTAAGTTGCTTACATATGGCCCAGGATATCCAACCTCTCCCTTCTGTCCGGGTGTACCAATATTGCCAGAGAAACCCTGGAAAAACAGTAAGAAAAAAACAATTGTGTTTTAAAGTAAGCTCAAGACTTTCCTCTTTAATAAAGCTTATAGTTAGGGCTGGCTCAGGTGGTCTAGACTAGGTGGTCCCATGATGCACTGAGCTCCTCTCTCCTCTACTTTCTCTCCCTCTGTATGCTAACTCGACTTCTTCCCATTCCCGTAGTCTTGTGCTTTCTCGTCCCTCTCCTCTCTCCTCCTATCACTTCCTGCAGGTGTTTCTGGCTCTGGAGCTGTGGAGTCTGGATCTGTGGTTGCAGGTCACCTGCTGCCCCCGTGTTCCTGCTCGACACCCTCTGTTCCAATTATTGTTACTAGTCCTATTGTTTTTATTGTTATTATAATCATTAACATTACGATTGTTATCATTAACACTACTGTAAATATCTGTACCATTTTTCATTCAGTCTATACCATTTTTCATTCAGTCTATAGCAACATTACCTTTGTGTGTATATTGTGAAAGTTGCTTCCCTCCCTTCTCTCTCTAATTCCATCTCTCTGTTTCTGCCTCTTAAAAGGAAGTTTTTCCTTGCCTCTGTCGCCTAATGCTTGCTTTTGGTGGGAACTGTTCAGCTACTGTAAATAGCATCACAGAGTACGGTCTAGACCTGCTCTTTTATGAAAAGCACTCTGAGATAACTGTTGTTGTGTATTGGCGCTATATAAATAAAATTAAATTGAACTGAATTGAATTTTAAAGCTACTCAGCTTTCAATAGTTCATAAAAGAGCTCGACTTAAAATATTTACTCTCTTCTGACTGACAAATGCCAACATAAATGTGCACGCTCAGCAAGACATAATATCCATGTACTATACATCTGAAACAAAACTAGTCCTCTAGTTTATCACGCCAAATATGTGTCTCTTGAATAAGCACAGTGTTGGAGAATTTTGCAAAGTGATACCATACAGTATATGCTGTCATATCTAGAATATATGTTCATATTAAACTAATCTAACTGGGGTCTGGAAACTGACCCTCTGTCCACGATTTCCTCTGTGTCCAGGTCCACCCTTTGTTCCAGGGTCTCCAGCTGCTCCCTGAAATTATGGAAAAAAGAGAGTGATTGCAAATGACCAACAATAACAGAAGGGCCCATTGGAGTGTACTGTACAGCAAAACACTATAATTAGCAACTTCTGCTGAAATGTGACTTCAAGAGTCAATGCTTTCCATTACCTTTGGTCCTGGGAATCCTGGGAAGCCCTCATCACCCTGTAGAAAATGCATACATATTTATATAGTAAGTATATATTGTTGTATCATTATCATCCCATTGAAATTGAATTTGAACGATTGTAAAACTGCATTTGTCTTGAGATTTCTAATATGGTTCAATGATAATCTTATCTTTAAATGGGCCAAAGCCATAGCATCCTTTCCAATGGTGTTCAGTATCACAGAAGAGATGTACTGTACTTGTGTTGGGTAAAGGATTTCAGATGTCTTACACAACATTAGTAGTTAGACTTACATCATGCTTGTATTCATTTTTCACTGGATAATTGATGGTTAATCTAATTATAACATTAAATTTAACCAAAATGAAGACACACCTTCTGATTACCATATGTACTTTACTAGAAGTCAAAATTCACTTGCCTTTCTTCCTGGAGGCCCTGGGATGCCAAACCCATCTTTACCATCTTCACCCTATAAGAAAAACAAGGAGGCGGGGGGGTGCTCAACGACTATTCTTTGAAAAGTGCTTGTAAAGTGCTAAACAACAACCCCTCTCTCCTTGGTCAAAACATAACAGTGTTATGCACTGTTACATGATACTAAGCAATGCTATGGTACACACACCACTTACATTCTCAGATATTACAGACACAGCACCATAAGTCTGGATTTAAACCACACATGGCAGTGATGCCAAAAATAGCTTCTTCAACTTGTAGCCTAAAGATTTTTTGGATATTATAGATATTATAGATTTTAGTGCAAAGTTCTTATTTTACTTCTTCTTTCACCAGTTTTACATTACAGTACATGCAAAGACGTTTTATCCTTACAGGCTCTCCACGGGGACCGAGAGGTCCAATAACACCCTTAGGTCCTGGCTCCCCTGGCTCTCCCTATAAAGGCACATAGATACAGAGAATGAGACAGAGACATAAATGGTTAAAGATTCAATTAGAATGTGAAGGCTTTAAATTAAAAGTGAAATATTTCTTTAACCTGTCAGGTCCTATAGATTTAATCTAGCTCATATACTTTTTTGCACATATCAATGGTGTTATCTTACAGTGCTTTCATGTTTGCTCAAATAGATTATGCATGTGTGTCCAGTAATGTGAGAGAGCTAGGTTTAGGCAGGGTGTTTACAATTGAAACAAGCCTGTTGAGGAAGAATATAAGCCACAGTACCTTGCGACCAAGAGCTCCTCTTCTACCTTTTTCTCCAGCAGGACCTGGGCTACCTCCGGGACCCTTGAAAACATCACATTAAAACATCAGAAGACAATAAAAGTATATTGTGCAAATTATTTCCAATCAGATAATCAGTGAGTTAACCTGTGGGTTTTTGTATCTGAAATTAAATTTTAACATGCACATTCCCTATCTGCATTCCTGGATGCAAACCAGATCCTGGTTTAAAATTGATGAGTTTTTTAAGTGTGCTCCATAAATATTTATGACTTGACTTAAAACATTAAAATGTGTTAATATGTTACAGACATAGCAAAAAAAACAAATTATTTAAAACAATGTCCATAACAGGTTAACTCACTCTGGGTCCAGGGTTCCCATCTTCTCCTCCTGGTCCTGGTACACCAATCGGTCCAGGTGGACCCTTAAAAATGACAAACCAGAGATTGATGATGCACCAGGTTCTTGCTTATTAGAGCTGGAATTCCAACCCATGACTAAAGAATGAATACACATTTCTAGATATATAATACTCCAGTCACAGTACAGTCAAAATAATATGTCATATTGCTAATGCAGCCAAGAAAAGTATTAACATTAATTACAACATTTGCTATGATACATGTTTTGGCAAGTGCATTTGTAGATTGAATAATCTGGCAAATACTGTAAAAAGAATGACAAACTTACTCTAGATCCTCCAACTCCAGGCTCTCCCTGAACACCATTAGCTCCTGCACTTCCAGAATTTCCCTTTAATGGTATGCAAGCAGCAAAACATTACATTTACTGCCATTATATTTCAAATAATGTATGTTATCACTAACATAGCAACTAACAGACTTACAGCCTGTCCTGGCGGGCCTCTTCTGCCATCAGCTCCCTAATAAAGTGACAGTAGAAATAAGTCATGTTTTTTTTTAAAACAGCGGCAAGTAAGTATTTAATAAAGATAATAAACACTTGACAAAATTGTTTACCCTTCTTCCGAGTTCACCAGGGCTTCCCTTCTTTCCATCCACACCAGGCCCCCCCTGAAATTTCAGAGCAGATATCTCAGTAAAACAAACCCATACAAACACAGAAAACCTCTAAATTGCTAAAACTGTTAAAAGCATTAAAAAAAGCATTGGACCACCATAATGGCATTTAGCATTTTTTCTATAGAAATTCAATGTGTATATTTTTGTGTGTGTTCAGTGTGTTTTTTGAGGAGGGTGGGCGACATTACCGCTGGTCCAGCATCACCAGGGTCTCCTTTAGGTCCTGCGCGGTTGTTATCTTGTCCACTTGTACCCTGTAGACATATATGACTTTTTCAGCTACAAACATCCTAAAACACTGTTTGCCCAGGGAGCTGACCAAGAATACATTTTCATTCATACTTAGAGAGCAATGGTAGGTTGAGGGAGGGATATATACAACCACGTATGAATGATCCGACGCCGCAATTTTTACCACTGACCACTGTTGAGAGCCTAGCTAAAGGGAACACAATGATTCAATCTAAGCTGGTCTGGGAATTCACAACAGGTGATTAGCAACTCTTTTCACTGTCTCATGTACTGTGTATGCATACAAAACTATTAAAAATATCCCACAAGTAATACACACAATATTACCCCGATCAGTTCAGGTATCCATGTTTTACAAAATATGTAATTGTATTGATAAATGTTAATTTAGAGAGTAAATGGCATTATTTTTTCTCATACTCACAGGGTCTCCTCTGATTCCCAGTTCTCCTCTGTCTCCTGCTTGTCCTTTGGTACCTTTGGGACCCTAAAAGAAATACATGTGTTCAGTGAGCATTTATCACTAACCATATGAAATTCATTTTTGAAGCTAAAATTGTATCCAGTCACTCACTCTTCTGCCAGGATTTCCTCTGTCTCCTGAGGGTCCAGCCACTCCAGTTTTGCCCTGAAAACATACAACAGATGGCAATTAAAGCCCACAAACATGCATAAACCAAAGTAGATTCACATGTTTTTGCCACATGAACACATTGGTGGGACTCACTTGCCACACAGCTAAAGACAAGAAATGGTCATACATGATTCTGTATGATGTGTAATGAATGACAAAATCTAATATAACATACACTTACCTCTTCTCCATTGATCCCATCAAGCCCAATTTCTCCAGATTCACCCTGCAACATGGTAGCAGTTGATTAGGTCATCACCAAGTATTTTTCAGATTTAGCTAATAATAAAGTCTTTAAAAAATAATACTCACCTTTTCTCCTGAGTACCCACGAGAACCCTGAACAAAATAATAAAATGTGTTACACCATCATGTTTAACTAATAAAACATATAAATATGCTAAATATGCTAAATTTACAACAATTTACAACAATACGTTGAGTGGTTAAGTTAATCTCAAAGATTTTACCTTGACACCTCTCTGTCCAGGACATCCCTGGAAACCCTGAGTTCCATTCACACCAGGAGGACCTCTCTCTCCCTGTCATTACAGAATAGGGACAATAAAATGTGTTAACATCATACAGGAGAATATGAAGGAACATTCCACAAGCAAAAACAACATTAAAAATTGGCAATGAACATCTTGAGAACAACAACAAATAAAATGGTTGAACAAAAGAGATCAGGACAGTTTACAACAGGTGCCTGAAAGTCTTTCATTGAAACATTCTCAGACTGTGACCACAAATGTAACAATGCATTCAAACTTACAGGTCCACCCTCATCTCCAGGATGTCCTTGGCTTCCTGGTGATCCTGGACTACCCTGAAGGGCAAAACAACCAGTTATTAGCCTTTGACAAACAATTATTTTCTGGTATATTTAAAGTGAAGGAAGAATGAAAAATAATATTTTCTTTTTTTGACATTGAATACCTTAGACCCTGAACGTCCAACTGCTCCTCGGTCTCCTCTGGTGCCGGTACATTTGCATGGCACAGCACAGCACTCCCTCTCTGCAATATTGTCCTACGCAGCAAAATAAACAAATATTGAGTAATTCAATTCAAGTGTGTGTGTGTGTGTGTGTGTGTGTGTGTGTGTGTGTGTGTGTGTGTGTGTGTGTGGGGGGGGGGGGGGTATGACTAATTAGTACTCACCAGTTCTTCCATTAGCTCATAGTCCAAGTCCATGATATTGACTCGTAAGGGTCTGGTGTACCTGAAGCCCCGACCAAATTCCAGCAACAAAGCCTCCTCAAATTTGGGCACCCGCTCCAGCCCAACCAGGATGAAACTGTTTACTCCTATTTTGCACATACAAGAGTTTAAGAGACATATTTACCCTTACTAATTACTTCTGAAAATGATATTGATATAGTTTTACAGAGGTTTAAGGATAGATAGTGATCAAGCACCATTTGAACGTATCATCTTTTTACCTGACAGCCGAAGCTCCTCAACTCGCCTTTTCATTTCAGCATATGGAGCGTCAACACCATCAGTCAGATGAATGACAACCTTCAGGGGGAAAACATAATTCACTCTCACACTTGCTTACATTTTCCGCAAGTTTTTTCATTCTTATCCTTCAATATTGGGTAGCTGCTGAAAATTTGTCTGATTCTAAATTATTATTTTCCTAAAATACACATTGAAATAACAGCTTTAGACTGCCACATGTTGCACACCTTAGTTGAGCTACTTGAATCAAATACTGGAGATCCTGGTTTAAAACTATTAAATTGATCATCTTAAATTATTGATATAGACTCATGAAATGTGATGCTATCCACTAGATAGAAGACATCACATATCATCCAGCAACATTTCATTCGCGGTTATACAACTGTTTAATTTTGTCCTGCCATCAAGTTACTCACAGAATTAATTAGAGTTAATGAGCAACAGCTGATATATCCTTCCATCAACAAAAGCGATAGAAGCAACACTGGCTTAATTTTAGTTTATATGGATCCTTTAAAATATGTCCAGATTGGCCCTGATCCTGAGGATCGGCTCAGGATATCTCTACTTTAAACTGTTTCAGAAACCTACCTTAACAATATTGTCCTGTCTGGTTTTGAACCTATTGGTGTAAGCTGAGACGGTCTTGCCATTGAGGACAAAGGGGCCACGACTCCGCAGAGCTCTGAAGGCCTCAAGGAGTTCATCAGCATTGTCTGTGAAGTCCAGCTGGACAGGCTCAGAAGCGGAGTCCATAGCTAGCATTCCCACTTGTACAGAGGGAAGCTGCCCAGAGGAGCAACTAACAGCTGCCATTTTGGATATTCTCTGCAGAATGGCACCCATCTTGCTCTGGAGGTTGGTCTGAGCACTGAAGATGTTCTGGGCAGAAACATCAAAGCCCACCAACACCTCTATGTTGCAGGCTGTAAAACAGAGCATGATTTTATTTTACTTCTGAATTCTAAGTGGCAAATTTATTAGTATTTTCAAAATGTAATTTATCAAATCAAATGTATTTTAACAGCTCAGCTATCAAGTCTATTAGAAAAAAATAAGTCTCTTACTTTTAGGAGTTTCATCCACACCAACACACAGCTTCCCCTTCACTTCATCATCTAAAGTCTCCAGGATTTGCTCATTGAGCTCTGAAAGTTGCTGAATGTCCCTTGCTCGAGCCACAGTGGTGGACTCACTTGCTAGTTCTTCTAACTCATTCGCAGTGTCACCCACTCCTACAGCGAAGATTCTCACACCTTTTTTCTTCAGACCAAGGGCTGCTGTTTTGCTGTCATCAGCTGAGCGCCCTCCAGTGATAACCATTAGGATCTGAGGAGTGCCCTCATCCATCCTACTGCCTTTTTCTTTTGTAAAGTGAACATCTTGAATGTGGCGAATGGCTGCACCAGTGTTGGCGTTTTGTCCACCTTTATACTCTGCACGACCGATGGCGCTTACAATGTCTTGTTGACTCTTGTATGTGTTGAGGTAGAAGACATCAGTTACATCTGTAGCATAATGTGCCAAGCCTATCCGCAGGTTGTCTCTCTCGGTGAAGAACAGGTCAATTAGGTTGATGATAAACGACATCACTTCATTGAATTCTTCCCTGCGGAAGTTTATGGAGCCATCCACCAAAAACACTATATCCGCTTTTTTGGGTGGAGGCAGGCCTGCTGCTATAAGACAGAAGATGAGATATTGAAGAGGACAGGTTAAAAAAAGGCAAGAACAGGAGAATAAATGCACATGGATCCATATAAGTCATTTTAGGGCAAAACATGTGAGGTCGTCATTTTTATTTATACAGTCCAATATCACAAATCACACATTTGCCTCAAAGGGCTTGTAGTAGCATTTAATATGTGTAAATTTTTATACAACTTACTAGGCTCCTCATATTCTGTGGGTGTTTCCTCAGTCATTGTCCCACTCAACCTGGAAATAAATCTTTCCCGGATTGCTGGCAGGCCAGGGAATGTAGGAACCTGAAGGACATCATCTGAGGTGGTGGCAATTTGGGTTAACTGCCTTGTGTCAGCACCGCCAGCTCCAACTCCAATGCAGTTGACTCTGGCGCCCTTAAGCAGAGGTCCATAGAGAGAAACATCTTGCCGGGAACGTCCACCTGTGAGGACCACAAGATGCTGGGAGGCCTCAGCTATACGAGCTCCGGCAGAGGGTTTTAACTCATTCCTTATAATATACTCAATGGCATCAGCTAGATCTGATGACCGGCCACCAATCTGACGAAGTCTTCTGATTGCAGAGATAACATCTGGCTTGTTATTGTGGCGGTTCAATGAGAACTCTGTTTTAACTTTGTCTGCATACTGGACAATAGCCACACGCACTTGATCAGGCTGCACATCAAGTTGTTGGACTATGTTGAGGATGAAGTCGCGGATATGAGCTATGCCAGCAGAACCTGTATTGTCTGAGCCATCAATAAGGAAGATAATGTCTTTTCTCCCAAGATTTAGGTTGCCTGCAAAACAAGCACAAAAAAGCGAAGGGGAGATGTATAAGTATATTAGAAAAAAATATAGATGCAAATAAAAAGATTTATTATCATGTTTTTTTCATTACATGAGGAATGAAAAACAAATAATTAAATTTTATTTTAATTTTAATTACCATAACCCTTGTATTTATGAGAATTTCTTACCTAAGTCAACTGTGGGAGGATCATAACTACCAATGATATCAGCGGTGGATATTGTTTTGACTGAATCAGTGAGCTGTGACTCCACTCTTGGCAGCTGCTGGAAACTGTCAACTGTATATACAAGTTCAGGCTTGAGGGAAATCTGTCTCAGTTCATCAGGGTCTGCATTTCTTGAACCAATGGCAAGAGGTGCAACTCGATTTCTCTTAAGTTGGTCAGCTGCAGTGGATACATCATCGGTAGACTTGCCACCTGTTACTAGAATGAGGAACTGAGGAACACCATCCTCAATACGGCTACCCATTGACCTCTGGTAGATGTTTCTGGAGACCCACTCAAGAGCACGACCTGTGTTGAGACGGTTTCCTCCTTTGCTTCGAAGTCTCCCCACAGCCTGGCGTACTTCTTCTTTGGTGGAGAATTCATTCAGAAGAAATTCTAACTTTGGTTCGTCACTGTATTGTACCACTGAAACCCGGACCTTATCCATTCCCACATCCAGTTTCTCCACAACTCTTCTTATCATATCACGGATAGAAGGGAACTCACTACGCACCGCTGTCGTGCCATCAATTAGAAATACGACATCCCTCTTTTCTCCTTCTCTGGAGACTGGTGTGACTGCTCAAAAAGAAGCATGCAAAATACAAGCACAGTAACAGGTTATGATTAACTAAATATTTAGAGGACATACAGTATGACTGTCATCAGGTCATCAAGTCAAATATCATGTAATACAGTAAGTCATAATGTATTTAGACTGTAAATAATTTTTAAGACAACATTTAACTGAGAAATTAAAATTACCATCAGGGGTTGGGAATACTGGACTCATCCTGGTGATGTCATCATCTGACAACTCAGTGAGAGTGTTGATTAAGTTTTGTTGGACTGTGTACAGGCCAGGGAGATCATCTACAGTGAAGGCAAAGTTAGGCACATATGACACCATCTGGAGCTCTGTAGGGTTAACATCTCTGGTCCCAATGCTGAAGGGAAGAACTCTAGATTGTTTGAGGGAAGTGGCTGCACGTCTGATGTCATCTGTTGAAGACCCACTGGAGACGACAATTACAAACTGTGGAACACCATCTTGCTTCCTGCTACCACGTTCTGTTGTCAAAACGTTCTGACTGACAAACTGCAAAGCCTGACCCAGGTTACGTTGTCTTCCTCCTCGTTGCCTCATTACTTTGACGGCATTCAAAACACCTTCTTTGGTTGTATGTGAGTTCAGAAACATGTCAGCCTGAGCAGAGTCACCATACTGGACCACGCCAACCCGGATCTTGTTCTCGCCCACGTTGAGACTCTCCACGACCCTGCGAATAAACTCCTGGATGATAGGAAATTCCCGTCCAACACCATCAGATCCATCAACAAGGAAAACAACATCCTTCCGGGGTCCCTGTGACTCAGCTGAAAGAGAAAGAGAAAAGGTAATATTATGGTCTGTTATATAATTGATGAAACAAAAATTCAAAGGAAAATTTCAGCAGCAATAACATATGTATGAGATATTACTGATGTATGACAATGGTTTTAACACTGTTCAAATCCTTCTTGACTTGATAACACGGAGGAAAGCTTAGCCCACAATCTGTTCCCAAACCAGTGAAACCATTCACTACAAGACCTCATTGCAAGATGACCTTGTAAACCTTTATGAACAGTGTCTTCTTGATGAAAATAAATGAGTTAAAAAGGTGAAAAATAAAATACAATAGAGCCACATTGTAAAAAAGTCCAAATCATAAACACCATCACTAATATTCACTCACAGTTAAGAGTGTCATTATTAGCATCTTCAAAGAGTTGGTCACTGAAGCACATTTATAAGGGGTGTCACACACTCATCATAGTACACCTACCTATTATCATACCTGATATTCACCAAGAGGCAATGAAACTGGAAATATAAACAACATAAATCCTAATGCTGTGAGAAGCGGAGATGATAGTTACACACCGTAACAGCCCAGCACAGGGCAGAGTAGAGCAAACAGCTCTCAATGTGCAATATTTGATTTGACAGAATTCAATCCAAACATTTTAAGATATGAGTGGCAAGTTTTGTTTTTACAGCTGCATTTATACAATGTTTGACTCACATGTAGCTTAAACATGTCCTATAATATGCTTCTTCAGTATACTTCAGAACAAATATTACTGGGACCACTACAGAAAATTGCAGATGAACATTTAATAGACACAAAACAAAGAAAAATTGCACTCAGTTGGGAACTTAATGGCAGTGTTTGCGCTGTAATATCATAAGCGCAATATCTTTTATGAATCTGACCTTGAGACAGGGCAGATAGCAGTTGCAAGTGATGCACAATTCATGGTGCTACACCTTGGCCCATGGGTTTTGGCCACCTCGTCACCGTGTCCGCCTCCTGTACCCACAGGGCTGGACTGGTAATCTGGCATACTGGTATAATTTAAATAATTTATTCATCAATTATAAAAAAAAATATATAAAAATGAAGGCGAGACACAACATGTAAAAAGGTAAAAAAAATAAAATAATAGATATCACCATGAAACTAGTTGATTATTTATATTAATTTCTTTATGGTACCAGTTCTCTGAAATGTTATGTTTAAATATTCAAATGAGACAGTATCTAATGAGATATGCACTAATTTGTATCTATGTCAAGAACCGAAATCTGAACATTGTATTAAATCAGGTTCAAAATGACTGTTTTATTTTGTTGACATATTAGATTCAAATGTTTTTTACAGGGGGAATTTTGGATATCTCTTTTCATCACTCCATAAATCACAAAATGCTGTAAACCATGTTTCTGGGAATAAAATTTTCTATAAACCATATATGAACAATGTCCTCTAAAAACGTCAGGCTCCCAGTATGAGAAAAAACTCATCTTGAGAAAACAGCATTAAAGATATGTATTGTAAAATTCCATAGATTTATAAAGATCATCTAAAACACATCAAAACTGATAACTGAATAACAGCATGTCTGAACAGTCACATGCAAACACAAACACAGACACAGACAAAGCCACCCGCGAAAGCTAAATCAGGAAGTGTCAAGCACGCCATGTGATGCATCTAAAAGAATCACATTGTCAGAAATCAACACTATTCAATGAGATTTCATGCTTAGATTAAATCCACCTTTGTTTTTGATGATTGGTTGCTGGTACAAAGGATATGACCAGATTTGGATCGGAACACATTGTGCTGTCGATGGTGATATGGTGCAGTCAATGATAGGGGTAGGAAATGTTGTTTTTAGGAGAAATCTACAGACGCACATAGACAAACTGTAGTAAACTAAACAATTAAATGTGTATTTTGGCATTTTTCTGTCCAGTAGTCTGAAAGAACACGATACAAAATAGCTCAAAATCCCAAAATTGACCAGTGCATGATGATGATAAAATGATAAAACAACATTTTTTGCCTGCCATGTCTCACCTTAAATGGGCCAACAACCCATAAAGCAGGGACAGAAAGGGACCCATTGGTTCATTCTGTACTGACACTGCGCTGGCCCAAACATCTCCTAGCCCCTACTACCTCACCCTCTGCCCTCTGTATCTCGTGTCAAAAGCATAGATCAAAATGGACAAACCAAAGCGCAAAGAGGGTGCAGAGAAGTTGCAGGCCCCCCAGAAAAAATCTTGAGGTGGATGCTGCCAAATTTGCCATAATAGAAAGACACATGTAGCAAGGTTAGCATATTGTGGCAATCGGTGCACACAACACACACACACACACACACACACACACCAGTTAGCTCAGGGAATATCTGTGGCAGTGGCAACTCCAATAAAAGAGTAACTAGTAAAACTGACCCATTCTGTCCTAAGAGTGAAAGCCTATGCACTGCTTGCCAGCAGCACTGTCCAGACTACGGGAGACCACTCTGGTGAAATACTAAGCTTGTCTAAACTTTTGCATTGAAACTGAGTTGTTTTTTTTTTGCTTGCTTGCTGAGATCCAGAAGAGGAGGTTTTCGTTGATATATGGACTTATTCACTAAGTGACAAGGTGACATTATTTTGTCAGCATCATGTCAACTTTTGTCAACTCAATTCAAATCTCAAAGAAGCCTGGTCTGTTTTTTATAGAAGTTCTTTGGATGTACAAATCCTCATAAAGGTCGCTTGCTTGAGTTAGTTCTTAGATCAAACATCCAAATATAAATGTCTAAACTTTTTAAAAAAAATTCTTTGACAATAACTTGTACTTCTACCTGAGTATGAGTTTTCTTCTCCATGGCCTCTTTCTTTAAAGGGGCTGCAAAGATGATTTATTGTTGAGGGGTGCCAGATCTGTTGTGGTGGGCCCCTTGGGCCCAAAAATGCCAGGATATCTACTCTGCAATAACTGCCTATGTGTATTTAGGGCTGGCTCCAGATCTATGGATGGTCCCAGAGTTTGGAACATTCAGCCAAATATGGAGAGGGAGATAAACCCATCAAAACTACTATGTAATTTACATGAATGCCCTGTTTCTCTGTGTACTGTTTTGTATTTGTTGTTGAACAGAGATGCACAATATATTGAAGGCTGATTTTATTCGCCAGTCAATGAGACAATGTGGTTATTGCTTGTGAGTTTAGTTTTCCAAAAATGCATGCCTGTGTATGCAAGCTCTTTTGCAGCAAACTCTCATACCTTGGATGTCAGAGTTGACTTCTCAACATCAAGTGTCGCCCACCAAAACTCGTCTGAAAATTGATTTAAGCCATTTTTGTTTTTGCTAATTACATGAAAATAGAGTATTCACCATTCATCATTCCCTGTGCTGCCATGTTGAAACTACAGTGGTAATATTCCATTTGTATAGATGAAGAACTACACATTTGTTATATATAGATAGATAATAGATTAGATAGATTAATAGACTATCTACAAAAGTGAGGGTTTAAAGATGCAGCAGCAAAATGTACAAAACAGCCACCAGTAATACATCTGAACATTGTTATCATACTGATGCTAACAATACTAAGAATACAACATAGTTGCTTTTAAAGATATAGTTAGAAGGGATACCATCACAGACAGAATTGCAGAAATTTGCCCAGGGCATTCCACATCTCTCACATGAACGGTCGCAATACAAAGGACTAACTGACTGGTCTTCTGAACATAGTGGTGGGTGTGGGTGGTTTGTAGCAACCTGCTGTTGTGTGTGTGTAATTAAATAAAAAAGTGGATGGAAATATTTAAGTATTAGACTATAATGCAGTCAATATATGAAACAAATTAACTGAATTTCGGTGTGGACAACAGACAACATAAAAATGACGCAAGTTGATTTATACCATTGCAGACAGATCCTGCTATAATAAGATTCAATTTTATTGTTGATGCCGTTTAAACTACATCTATTATTTGGAAAGTGTGCAAGTAAAAATTTTGTTAAATATTGTTGCATTAATTCTACAAGTCTTTCAAGTAGTTAGTTTGTCCATGTTGACAAGATCGTCATATTGCAAAGAAAGTGACTAATTGAATGTTTCGTCAAAGTGGCACCAGCTGATCTGAACTTACCAGGGACTGTTGGTGTCATGGGTGTGGCTTTGAAGAGCACGGTGCGCATTAAAGAAGAGAGCTGATCTTGGATGCTGGGCAGGTCATTGAACTCAGACACTGATAGAGCATAACTGGGGTCATAAGATATCTTCTGCAGCTCTCTACTATCATAGTTCCTTATTCCAATGCCAATCGTAAAGATGCCCTGCTGTTTAAGAGCAGAGGCTGGTGCTTGAACACTGTCAGAAGACCTTCCGCTATTGAGAAGGATCAACATTTGAGGAACTCCTTGGAGGAGCCTGCTCCCGGAGGAGTTTGTGAAGACGTTGTCCCTGACATATTGAAGGGCTGCGCCAGTGTTGAGGGGTCTGCCTCCTCTGTGTCTCAGCCCTCTGACCGCATTCAAAATATCATTTCGTGTTTTGTATGTTTTCAGCTCGAAATGGACAAATGCATTTCTGCTGTACTGGACCACAGAGACACGATCATTGTTTTCTCCCACATTTAGTTTCTCCACCACTCTCTCAACAAAATCACGCATGGCAGGGAAGCCATTCCTTGTGCCATCAGAACCATCCAGAAGGAATACAATATCCTTTTTGGCAGAGTCAACTGTAAAAAAACAGGAAGACAAAAAACTTTTGCAAAAAGTATACCTGTCATCGAGAATCATTATCATGATCATCAACTGAGGGAAAAATTTTTGAAAAGCATTTACGTTTCCAACATAGGTTTAAACAAGTGAAGTAGCATTAGGTGGCAGTGAGAGACCAAAATTATTAACATACCAGATAAAGTTGGTGCATGTGGGGTGACATCAATAAAAACAGCCTCCACGGAAGACTGAAGTTGCTGTTGGACACTGTGAAGGTCAGTGAATTCAGACACAGATAGAGCATAACTGGGATCGTGGGATATCTTCTGCAGTTCGATGTTATCAGAGCTCCCAGTTCCAATTGTAATGGTCAAGACACCCAGCTGTTTGAGAGCAGAGGCTGGTACATCAACACTGTCAAAAGACCTTCCACCACTTAGCAATATTAGGACCTGTGGAACTCCTTCCACACGCCTGCTTCCGGCAGAGGCCGTGAAGACATTATCCCTCAAGTACTGGAGAGCTGCTCCAGTGTTGAGGGGTCTTCCGCCTTTGTGCCTCAAACCTCTGACCGTGTCAAGGATCTCGCCCTTAGTGGTGTATGTGTTCAGATAGAACTGGACAGTTGGATCTCTGCTGTACTGAACCACTGAGACACGGTCTTTGTTGTCATCCACACTGAGTGTCTCTACTACTCTTTGGACAAAGTCTCGCATAGCTGGGAATCCAGTTCTAGTACCATCAGATCCATCCAACAAGAACACAAGATCCCTTCCTGGTAGCTGTCTCTCCACTAGGGAACATAAAATTTCAGACATATTTAAGTTCATGTGTCAAATGCTGCCAGTGTGAAAGTCAGATGGCAAAAGCTAGCCTCGATGTCTACAACTTGCTCTGTTAATGCTGGCAAAACTCTTTTGTCAAAGTGGCACTGGCTGACCTCAACTTAGTGAAATACACTTGTTCAATTTGCGTCCTACCATGAGTGTGGAATGTAAAAATCTGTCACTTTCTTACCAGTCACTGTTGGTGTCATGGGCGTGGCCCTCCCTAGCACCGTGCTCATTACAGAGGAGAGCTGTTCTTGGATATCGGGGAGGTCAGTGAATTCAGACACTGATAGAGCGTAAGTAGGCTCATATGATATCTTCTGCAGCTCTCTACTATCAGAGTTCCTTGTTCCAATGCCAACAACATAGATGCCCTGCTGTTTTAGAGCAGAGGCTGGGGTATCTACATTATCAAAAGACCTTCCACCATTTAGCAGGATCAACATTTGTGGAACACCTTGGAGGCGCCTGCTCCCGGAGGAGTTTGTGAAGACGTTGTCCCTGACATATTGGAGGGCTGCCCCGGTGTTGAGGGGTCTGCCTCCTCTGTGTCTCAGCCCTCTGACCGAATCCAGAATATCATCTCGTGTTTTGTATCTTTTCAGATCGAAATGGACCTCTGCATCTCTGCTGTACTGGACCACAGAGACACGGTCTTTGTTTTCTCCCACATTGAGTTTCTCCACCACTCTCTCAACAAAATCACGCATGGCAGGGAAGCCATTCCTTGTGGCATCAGAACCATCCAGAAGGAATACGATATCCTTTTTGGCAGTGTCAACTGAGGAAATACAGGAAGACAAAAAATAAAAAACTTTGCACAAAGTACTCTGATTGACTGATCATCAAGTGGTGGACATTTTTTTTGAAAATCACTTAATAGTGCCTACTTCAATTTTAAACAGTGGGAAAGCACACCACCACCTCTCTTTCAATGAACACCTGGAGCTAAACAAGTATCACAATTTCTTTGCCACATGTAAGGTAAAACAAGTCAGGTAGCATTTCGGGCCAGCAAGAGGCTGTGCTTGTTAACATACCAAATACAGTTGGTGATTCTGGGGCGACGCCAATAACCACAGCCTCCACGGAGGACTTAAGTTGCTGTTGGACACTGGGAAGGTCAGTGAATTCAGACACAGATAGCGCATAACTGGGATCGTGGGATATCTTCTGCAGTTCGATGCTATCAGAGCTCCCGGTTCCAATTGTAATGGTCAAGACACCCAGCTGTTTGAGAGCAGAGGCTGGTACATCAACACTGTCAAAAGACCTTCCACCACTTAGCAATATTAGGACCTGTGGAACTCCTTCCACACGCCTGCTTCCGGCAGAGGCCGTGAAGACATTATCCCTCAAGTACTGGAGAGCTGCTCCAGTGTTGAGGGGTCTTCCGCCTTTGTGCCTCAAACCTCTGACCGTGTCAAGGATCTCGCCCTTAGTGGTGTATGTGTTCAGATAGAACTGGACAGCTGGATCTCTGCTGTACTGAACCACTGAGACACGGTCTTTGTTGTCATCCACACTGAGTGTCTCTACTACTCTTTGGACAAAGTCTCGCATAGCTGGGAATCCAGTTCTAGTACCATCAGATCCATCCAACAAGAACACAAGATCCCTTCCTGGTAGCTGTCTCTCCACTAGGGAACATAAAATTTCAGACATATTTAAGTTCATGTGTCAAATGCTGCCAGTGTGAAAGTCAGATGGCAAAAGCTAGCCTCGATGTCTACAACTTGCTCTGTTAATGCTGGCAAAACTCTTTTGTCAAAGTGGCACTGGCTGACCTCAACTTAGTGAAATACACTTGTTCAATTTGCGTCCTACCATGAGTGTGGAATGTAAAAATCTGTCACTTTCTTACCAGTCACTGTTGGTGTCATGGGCGTGGCCCTCCCTAGCACCGTGCTCATTACAGAGGAGAGCTGTTCTTGGATATCGGGGAGGTCAGTGAATTCAGACACTGATAGAGCGTAAGTAGGCTCATATGATATCTTCTGCAGCTCTCTACTATCAGAGTTCCTTGTTCCAATGCCAACAACATAGATGCCCTGCTGTTTTAGAGCAGAGGCTGGGGTATCTACATTATCAAAAGACCTTCCACCATTTAGCAGGATCAACATTTGTGGAACACCTTGGAGGCGCCTGCTCCCGGAGGAGTTTGTGAAGACGTTGTCCCTGACATATTGGAGGGCTGCCCCGGTGTTGAGGGGTCTGCCTCCTCTGTGTCTCAGCCCTCTGACCGAATCCAGAATATCATCTCGTGTTTTGTATCTTTTCAGATCGAAATGGACCTCTGCATCTCTGCTGTACTGGACCACAGAGACACGGTCTTTGTTTTCTCCCACATTGAGTTTCTCCACCACTCTCTCAACAAAATCACGCATGGCAGGGAAGCCATTCCTTGTGGCATCAGAACCATCCAGAAGGAATACGATATCCTTTTTGGCAGTGTCAACTGAGGAAATACAGGAAGACAAAAATAAAAAATCTTTGCACAAAGTACTCTGATTGACTGATCATCAAGTGGTGGACATTTTTTTTGAAAATCACTTAATAGTGCCTACTTCAATTTTAAACAGTGGGAAAGCACACCACCACCTCTCTTTCAATGAACACCTGGAGCTAAACAAGTATCACAATTTCTTTGCCACATGTAAGGTAAAACAAGTCAGGTAGCATTTCGGGCCAGCAAGAGGCTGTGCTTGTTAACATACCAAATACAGTTGGTGATTCTGGGGCACGCCAATAACCACAGCCTCCACGGAGGACTTAAGTTGCTGTTGGACACTGGGAAGGTCAGTGAATTCAGACACAGATAGCGCATAACTGGGATCGTGGGATATCTTCTGCAGTTCGATGCTATCAGAGCTCCCGGTTCCAATTGTAATGGTCAAGACACCCAGCTGTTTGAGAGCAGAGGCTGGTACATCAACACTGTCAGAAGACTTGCCACCACTTAGCAATATTAGGACCTGTGGAACTCCTTCCACACGCCTGCTTCCGGCAGAGGCCGTGAAGACATTATCCCTCAAGTACTGGAGAGCTGCTCCAGTGTTGAGGGGTCTTCCACCTTTGTGCCTCAAACCTCTGACACTGTCAAGGATCTCGCCCTTTGTCGGGTATGTGTTCAGATAGAACTGGACAGCTGGCTCTCTGCTGTACTGAACCACTGAGACACGGTCTTTGTTGTCATCCACACTGAGTGTCTCTACTACTCTTTGGACAAAGTCTCGCATAGCTGGGAATCCAGTTCTAGTACCATCAGATCCATCCAACAAGAACACAAGATCCCTTCCTGGTAGCTGTCTCTCCACTGGGGAACATAAAATTTCAGACATATTTAAGTTCATGTGTCAACTAGTTCCAGTGTGAAAGTCAGATGACAAAATGTAGCCTCAACATTTACAACTTGCTCTATTAATGCTGCCAAAACTATTTTACACTGAGTGCAACTGGCTGACCTCAACTTAGTAAATACACATGTTCAACTTGCATTCTACCCTGATGGTGGAATGTAAAATTCTGTCACTTTCTTACCAGTCACTGTTGGTGTCAAGGGCGTGGCCCTCCTTTGCACTGTGCTCATTACAGAGGACAGCTGTTGTTGGATATTGGGGAGGTCCGTAAATTCAGACACAGATAGAGCATAACTGGGATCGTGGGATATCTTGAGCAGTTCGCTGCTATCAGAGGCCCTGGTTCCAATTGCAATGGTCAAGACACCCAGCTGTTTGAGAGCAGAGGCTGGTACATCAACACTGTCAGAAGACTTGCCACCACTTAGCAATATTAGGACCTGTGGAACTCCTTCCACACGCCTGCTTCCGGCAGAGGCCGTGAAGACATTATCCCTCAAGTACTGGAGAGCTGCTCCAGTGTTGAGGGGTCTTCCACCTTTGTGCCTCAAACCTCTGACCGTGTCAAGGATCTCGCCCTTTGTCGGGTATGTGTTCAGATAGAACTGGACAGCTGGCTCTCTGCTGTACTGAACCACTGAGACACGGTCTTTGTTGTCATCCACACTGAGTGTCTCTACTACTCTTTGGACAAAGTCTCGCATAGCTGGGAATCCAGTTCTAGTACCATCAGATCCATCCAACAAGAACACAAGATCCCTTCCTGGTAGCTGTCTCTCCACTGGGGAACATAAAATTTCAGACATATTTAAGTTCATGTGTCAACTAGTTCCAGTGTGAAAGTCAGATGACAAAATGTAGCCTCAACATTTACAACTTGCTCTATTAATGCTGCCAAAACTATTTTACACTGAGTGCAACTGGCTGACCTCAACTTAGTAAAATACACATGTTCAACTTGCATTCTACCCTGATGGTGGAATGTAAAATTCTGTCACTTTCTTACCAGTCACTGTTGGTGTCAAGGGCGTGGCCCTCCTTTGCACTGTGCTCATTACAGAGGACAGCTGTTGTTGGATATTGGGGAGGTCCGTAAATTCAGACACAGATAGAGCATAACTGGGATCGTGGGATATCTTGAGCAGTTCGCTGCTATCAGAGGCCCTGGTTCCAATCGCAATGGTCAAGACACCCAGCTGTTTGAGAGCAGAGGCTGGTACATCAACACTGTCAAAAGACCTTCCACCACTTAGCAATATTAGGACCTGTGGAACTCCTTCCACACGCCTGCTTCCGGCAGAGGCCGTGAAGACATTATCCCTCAAGTACTGGAGAGCTGCTCCAGTGTTGAGGGGTCTTCCGCCTTTGTGCCTCAAACCTCTGACCGTGTCAAGGATCTCGCCCTTAGTGGTGTATGTGTTCAGATAGAACTGGACAGTTGGATCTCTGCTGTACTGAACCACTGAGACACGGTCTTTGTTGTCATCCACACTGAGTGTCTCTACTACTCTTTGGACAAAGTCTCGCATAGCTGGGAATCCAGTTCTAGTACCATCAGATCCATCCAACAAGAACACAAGATCCCTTCCTGGTAGCTGTCTCTCCACTAGGGAACATAAAATTTCAGACATATTTAAGTTCATGTGTCAAATGCTGCCAGTGTGAAAGTCAGATGGCAAAAGCTAGCCTCGATGTCTACAACTTGCTCTGTTAATGCTGGCAAAACTCTTTTGTCAAAGTGGCACTGGCTGACCTCAACTTAGTGAAATACACTTGTTCAATTTGCGTCCTACCATGAGTGTGGAATGTAAAAATCTGTCACTTTCTTACCAGTCACTGTTGGTGTCATGGGCGTGGCCCTCCCTAGCACCGTGCTCATTACAGAGGAGAGCTGTTCTTGGATATCGGGGAGGTCAGTGAATTCAGACACTGATAGAGCGTAAGTAGGCTCATATGATATCTTCTGCAGCTCTCTACTATCAGAGTTCCTTGTTCCAATGCCAACAACATAGATGCCCTGCTGTTTTAGAGCAGAGGCTGGGGTATCTACATTATCAAAAGACCTTCCACCATTTAGCAGGATCAACATTTGTGGAACACCTTGGAGGCGCCTGCTCCCGGAGGAGTTTGTGAAGACGTTGTCCCTGACATATTGGAGGGCTGCCCCGGTGTTGAGGGGTCTGCCTCCTCTGTGTCTCAGCCCTCTGACCGAATCCAGAATATCATCTCGTGTTTTGTATCTTTTCAGATCGAAATGGACCTCTGCATCTCTGCTGTACTGGACCACAGAGACACGGTCTTTGTTTTCTCCCACATTGAGTTTCTCCACCACTCTCTCAACAAAATCACGCATGGCAGGGAAGCCATTCCTTGTGGCATCAGAACCATCCAGAAGGAATACGATATCCTTTTTGGCAGTGTCAACTGAGGAAATACAGGAAGACAAAAAATAAAAAACTTTGCAAAAGTACTCTGATTGACTGATCATCAAGTGGTGGACATTTTTTTGAAAATCACTTAACAGTGCCTACTTCAATTTTAAACAGTGGGAAAGCACACCACCACCTCTCTTTCAATGAACACCTGGAGCTAAACAAGTATCACAATTTCTTTGCCACATGTAAGGTAAAACAAGTCAGGTAGCATTTCGGGCCAGCAAGAGGCTGTGCTTGTTAACATACCAAATACAGTTGGTGATTCTGGGGCGACGCCAATAACCACAGCCTCCACGGAGGACTTAAGTTGCTGTTGGACACTGGGAAGGTCAGTGAATTCAGACACAGATAGAGCATAACTGGGATCGTGGGATATCTTCTGCAGTTCGATGCTATCAGAGCTCCCGGTTCCAATTGTAATGGTCAAGACACCCAGCTGTTTGAGAGCAGAGGCTGGTACATCAACACTGTCAGAAGACTTGCCACCACTTAGCAATATTAGGACCTGTGGAACTCCTTCCACACGCCTGCTTCCGGCAGAGGCCGTGAAGACATTATCCCTCAAGTACTGGAGAGCTGCTCCAGTGTTGAGGGGTCTTCCACCTTTGTGCCTCAAACCTCTGACACTGTCAAGGATCTCGCCCTTTGTCGGGTATGTGTTCAGATAGAACTGGACAGCTGGCTCTCTGCTGTACTGAACCACTGAGACACGGTCTTTGTTGTCATCCACACTGAGTGTCTCTACTACTCTTTGGACAAAGTCTCGCATAGCTGGGAATCCAGTTCTAGTACCATCAGATCCATCCAACAAGAACACAAGATCCCTTCCTGGTAGCTGTCTCTCCACTGGGGAACATAAAATTTCAGACATATTTAAGTTCATGTGTCAACTAGTTCCAGTGTGAAAGTCAGATGACAAAATGTAGCCTCAACATTTACAACTTGCTCTATTAATGCTGCCAAAACTATTTTACACTGAGTGCAACTGGCTGACCTCAACTTAGTAAAATACACATGTTCAACTTGCATTCTACCCTGATGGTGGAATGTAAAATTCTGTCACTTTCTTACCAGTCACTGTTGGTGTCAAGGGCGTGGCCCTCCTTTGCACTGTGCTCATTACAGAGGACAGCTGTTGTTGGATATTGGGGAGGTCCGTAAATTCAGACACAGATAGAGCATAACTGGGATCGTGGGATATCTTGAGCAGTTCGCTGCTATCAGAGGCCCTGGTTCCAATCGCAATGGTCAAGACACCCAGCTGTTTGAGAGCAGAGGCTGGTACATCAACACTGTCAAAAGACCTTCCACCACTTAGCAATATTAGGACCTGTGGAACTCCTTCCACACGCCTGCTTCCGGCAGAGGCCGTGAAGACATTATCCCTCAAGTACTGGAGAGCTGCTCCAGTGTTGAGGGGTCTTCCGCCTTTGTGCCTCAAACCTCTGACCGTGTCAAGGATCTCGCCCTTAGTGGTGTATGTGTTCAGATAGAACTGGACAGTTGGATCTCTGCTGTACTGAACCACTGAGACACGGTCTTTGTTGTCATCCACACTGAGTGTCTCTACTACTCTTTGGACAAAGTCTCGCATAGCTGGGAATCCAGTTCTAGTACCATCAGATCCATCCAACAAGAACACAAGATCCCTTCCTGGTAGCTGTCTCTCCACTAGGGAACATAAAATTTCAGACATATTTAAGTTCATGTGTCAAATGCTGCCAGTGTGAAAGTCAGATGGCAAAAGCTAGCCTCGATGTCTACAACTTGCTCTGTTAATGCTGGCAAAACTCTTTTGTCAAAGTGGCACTGGCTGACCTCAACTTAGTGAAATACACTTGTTCAATTTGCGTCCTACCATGAGTGTGGAATGTAAAAATCTGTCACTTTCTTACCAGTCACTGTTGGTGTCATGGGCGTGGCCCTCCCTAGCACCGTGCTCATTACAGAGGAGAGCTGTTCTTGGATATCGGGGAGGTCAGTGAATTCAGACACTGATAGAGCGTAAGTAGGCTCATATGATATCTTCTGCAGCTCTCTACTATCAGAGTTCCTTGTTCCAATGCCAACAACATAGATGCCCTGCTGTTTTAGAGCAGAGGCTGGGGTATCTACATTATCAAAAGACCTTCCACCATTTAGCAGGATCAACATTTGTGGAACACCTTGGAGGCGCCTGCTCCCGGAGGAGTTTGTGAAGACGTTGTCCCTGACATATTGGAGGGCTGCCCCGGTGTTGAGGGGTCTGCCTCCTCTGTGTCTCAGCCCTCTGACCGAATCCAGAATATCATCTCGTGTTTTGTATCTTTTCAGATCGAAATGGACCTCTGCATCTCTGCTGTACTGGACCACAGAGACACGGTCTTTGTTTTCTCCCACATTGAGTTTCTCCACCACTCTCTCAACAAAATCACGCATGGCAGGGAAGCCATTCCTTGTGGCATCAGAACCATCCAGAAGGAATACGATATCCTTTTTGGCAGTGTCAACTGAGGAAATACAGGAAGACAAAAAATAAAAAACTTTGCAAAAGTACTCTGATTGACTGATCATCAAGTGGTGGACATTTTTTTGAAAATCACTTAATGCCTACTTCAATTTTAAACAGTGGGAAAGCACACCACCACCTCTCTTTCAATGAACACCTGGAGCTAAACAAGTATCACAATTTCTTTGCCACATGTAAGGTAAAACAAGTCAGGTAGCATTTCGGGCCAGCAAGAGGCTGTGCTTGTTAACATACCAAATACAGTTGGTGATTCTGGGGCGACGCCAATAACCACAGCCTCCACGGAGGACTTAAGTTGCTGTTGGACACTGGGAAGGTCAGTGAATTCAGACACAGATAGAGCATAACTGGGATCGTGGGATATCTTCTGCAGTTCGATGCTATCAGAGCTCCCGGTTCCAATTGTAATGGTCAAGACACCCAGCTGTTTGAGAGCAGAGGCTGGTACATCAACACTGTCAGAAGACTTGCCACCACTTAGCAATATTAGGACCTGTGGAACTCCTTCCACACGCCTGCTTCCGGCAGAGGCCGTGAAGACATTATCCCTCAAGTACTGGAGAGCTGCTCCAGTGTTGAGGGGTCTTCCGCCTTTGTGCCTCAAACCTCTGACCGTGTCAAGGATCTCGCCCTTAGTGGGTATGTGTTCAGATAGAACTGGACAGCTGGATCTCTGCTGTACTGAACCACTGAGACACGGTCTTTGTTGTCATCCACACTGAGTGTCTCTACTACTCTTTGGACAAAGTCTCGCATAGCTGGGAATCCAGTTCTAGTACCATCAGATCCATCCAACAAGAACACAAGATCCCTTCCTGGTAGCTGTCTCTCCACTAGGGAACATAAAATTTCAGACATATTTAAGTTCATGTGTCAAATGCTGCCAGTGTGAAAGTCAGATGGCAAAAGCTAGCCTCGATGTCTACAACTTGCTCTGTTAATGCTGGCAAAACTCTTTTGTCAAAGTGGCACTGGCTGACCTCAACTTAGTGAAATACACTTGTTCAATTTGCGTCCTACCATGAGTGTGGAATGTAAAAATCTGTCACTTTCTTACCAGTCACTGTTGGTGTCATGGGCGTGGCCCTCCCTAGCACCGTGCTCATTACAGAGGAGAGCTGTTCTTGGATATCGGGGAGGTCAGTGAATTCAGACACTGATAGAGCGTAAGTAGGCTCATATGATATCTTCTGCAGCTCTCTACTATCAGAGTTCCTTGTTCCAATGCCAACAACATAGATGCCCTGCTGTTTTAGAGCAGAGGCTGGGGTATCTACATTATCAAAAGACCTTCCACCATTTAGCAGGATCAACATTTGTGGAACACCTTGGAGGCGCCTGCTCCCGGAGGAGTTTGTGAAGACGTTGTCCCTGACATATTGGAGGGCTGCCCCGGTGTTGAGGGGTCTGCCTCCTCTGTGTCTCAGCCCTCTGACCGAATCCAGAATATCATCTCGTGTTTTGTATCTTTTCAGATCGAAATGGACCTCTGCATCTCTGCTGTACTGGACCACAGAGACACGGTCTTTGTTTTCTCCCACATTGAGTTTCTCCACCACTCTCTCAACAAAATCACGCATGGCAGGGAAGCCATTCCTTGTGGCATCAGAACCATCCAGAAGGAATACGATATCCTTTTTGGCAGTGTCAACTGAGGAAATACAGGAAGACAAAAAATAAAAAACTTTGCAAAAAGTACTCTGATTGACTGATCATCAAGTGGTGGACATTTTTTTGAAAATCACTTAACAGTGCCTACTTCAATTTTAAACAGTGGGAAAGCACACCACCACCTCTCTTTCAATGAACACCTGGAGCTAAACAAGTATCACAATTTCTTTGCCACATGTAAGGTAAAACAAGTGAGGTAGCATTTCGGGCCAGCAAGAGGCTGTGCTTGTTAACATACCAAATACAGTTGGTGATTCTGGGGCGACGCCAATAACCACAGCCTCCACGGAGGACTTAAGTTGCTGTTGGACACTGGGAAGGTCAGTGAATTCAGACACAGATAGAGCATAACTGGGATCGTGGGATATCTTCTGCAGTTCGATGCTATCAGAGCTCCCGGTTCCAATTGTAATGGTCAAGACACCCAGCTGTTTGAGAGCAGAGGCTGGTACATCAACACTGTCAGAAGACTTGCCACCACTTAGCAATATTAGGACCTGTGGAACTCCTTCCACACGCCTGCTTCCGGCAGAGGCCGTGAAGACATTATCCCTCAAGTACTGGAGAGCTGCTCCAGTGTTGAGGGGTCTTCCACCTTTGTGCCTCAAACCTCTGACACTGTCAAGGATCTCGCCCTTTGTCGGGTATGTGTTCAGATAGAACTGGACAGCTGGCTCTCTGCTGTACTGAACCACTGAGACACGGTCTTTGTTGTCATCCACACTGAGTGTCTCTACTACTCTTTGGACAAAGTCTCGCATAGCTGGGAATCCAGTTCTAGTACCATCAGATCCATCCAACAAGAACACAAGATCCCTTCCTGGTAGCTGTCTCTCCACTGGGGAACATAAAATTTCAGACATATTTAAGTTCATGTGTCAACTAGTTCCAGTGTGAAAGTCAGATGACAAAATGTAGCCTCAACATTTACAACTTGCTCTATTAATGCTGCCAAAACTATTTTACACTGAGTGCAACTGGCTGACCTCAACTTAGTAAAATACACATGTTCAACTTGCATTCTACCCTGATGGTGGAATGTAAAATTCTGTCACTTTCTTACCAGTCACTGTTGGTGTCAAGGGCGTGGCCCTCCTTTGCACTGTGCTCATTACAGAGGACAGCTGTTGTTGGATATTGGGGAGGTCCGTAAATTCAGACACCGATAGAGCATAACTGGGATCGTGGGATATCTTGAGCAGTTCGCTGCTATCAGAGGCCCTGGTTCCAATCGCAATGGTCAAGACACCCAGCTGTTTGAGAGCAGAGGCTGGTACATCAACACTGTCAAAAGACCTTCCACCACTTAGCAATATTAGGACCTGTGGAACTCCTTCCACACGCCTGCTTCCGGCAGAGGCCGTGAAGACATTATCCCTCAAGTACTGGAGAGCTGCTCCAGTGTTGAGGGGTCTTCCGCCTTTGTGCCTCAAACCTCTGACCGTGTCAAGGATCTCGCCCTTAGTGGTGTATGTGTTCAGATAGAACTGGACAGCTGGATCTCTGCTGTACTGAACCACTGAGACACGGTCTTTGTTGTCATCCACACTGAGTGTCTCTACTACTCTTTGGACAAAGTCTCGCATAGCTGGGAATCCAGTTCTAGTACCATCAGATCCATCCAACAAGAACACAAGATCCCTTCCTGGTAGCTGTCTCTCCACTAGGGAACATAAAATTTCAGACATATTTAAGTTCATGTGTCAAATGCTGCCAGTGTGAAAGTCAGATGGCAAAAGCTAGCCTCGATGTCTACAACTTGCTCTGTTAATGCTGGCAAAACTCTTTTGTCAAAGTGGCACTGGCTGACCTCAACTTAGTGAAATACACTTGTTCAATTTGCGTCCTACCATGAGTGTGGAATGTAAAAATCTGTCACTTTCTTACCAGTCACTGTTGGTGTCATGGGCGTGGCCCTCCCTAGCACCGTGCTCATTACAGAGGAGAGCTGTTCTTGGATATCGGGGAGGTCAGTGAATTCAGACACTGATAGAGCGTAAGTAGGCTCATATGATATCTTCTGCAGCTCTCTACTATCAGAGTTCCTTGTTCCAATGCCAACAACATAGATGCCCTGCTGTTTTAGAGCAGAGGCTGGGGTATCTACATTATCAAAAGACCTTCCACCATTTAGCAGGATCAACATTTGTGGAACACCTTGGAGGCGCCTGCTCCCGGAGGAGTTTGTGAAGACGTTGTCCCTGACATATTGGAGGGCTGCCCCGGTGTTGAGGGGTCTGCCTCCTCTGTGTCTCAGCCCTCTGACCGAATCCAGAATATCATCTCGTGTTTTGTATCTTTTCAGATCGAAATGGACCTCTGCATCTCTGCTGTACTGGACCACAGAGACACGGTCTTTGTTTTCTCCCACATTGAGTTTCTCCACCACTCTCTCAACAAAATCACGCATGGCAGGGAAGCCATTCCTTGTGGCATCAGAACCATCCAGAAGGAATACGATATCCTTTTTGGCAGTGTCAACTGAGGAAATACAGGAAGACAAAAAATAAAAAACCTTTGCAAAAAGTACTCTGATTGACTGATCATCAAGTGGTGGACATTTTTTTGAAAATCACTTAACAGTGCCTACTTCAATTTTAAACAGTGGGAAAGCACACCACCACCTCTCTTTCAATGAACACCTGGAGCTAAACAAGTATCACAATTTCTTTGCCACATGTAAGGTAAAACAAGTGAGGTAGCATTTCGGGCCAGCAAGAGGCTGTGCTTGTTAACATACCAAATACAGTTGGTGATTCTGGGGCGACGCCAATAACCACAGCCTCCACGGAGGACTTAAGTTGCTGTTGGACACTGGGAAGGTCAGTGAATTCAGACACAGATAGAGCATAACTGGGATCGTGGGATATCTTCTGCAGTTCGATGCTATCAGAGCTCCCGGTTCCAATTGTAATGGTCAAGACACCCAGCTGTTTGAGAGCAGAGGCTGGTACATCAACACTGTCAGAAGACTTGCCACCACTTAGCAATATTAGGACCTGTGGAACTCCTTCCACACGCCTGCTTCCGGCAGAGGCCGTGAAGACATTATCCCTCAAGTACTGGAGAGCTGCTCCAGTGTTGAGGGGTCTTCCACCTTTGTGCCTCAAACCTCTGACACTGTCAAGGATCTCGCCCTTTGTCGGGTATGTGTTCAGATAGAACTGGACAGCTGGCTCTCTGCTGTACTGAACCACTGAGACACGGTCTTTGTTGTCATCCACACTGAGTGTCTCTACTACTCTTTGGACAAAGTCTCGCATAGCTGGGAATCCAGTTCTAGTACCATCAGATCCATCCAACAAGAACACAAGATCCCTTCCTGGTAGCTGTCTCTCCACTGGGGAACATAAAATTTCAGACATATTTAAGTTCATGTGTCAACTAGTTCCAGTGTGAAAGTCAGATGACAAAATGTAGCCTCAACATTTACAACTTGCTCTATTAATGCTGCCAAAACTATTTTACACTGAGTGCAACTGGCTGACCTCAACTTAGTAAAATACACATGTTCAACTTGCATTCTACCCTGATGGTGGAATGTAAAATTCTGTCACTTTCTTACCAGTCACTGTTGGTGTCAAGGGCGTGGCCCTCCTTTGCACTGTGCTCATTACAGAGGACAGCTGTTGTTGGATATTGGGGAGGTCCGTAAATTCAGACACCGATAGAGCATAACTGGGATCGTGGGATATCTTGAGCAGTTCGCTGCTATCAGAGGCCCTGGTTCCAATCGCAATGGTCAAGACACCCAGCTGTTTGAGAGCAGAGGCTGGTACATCAACACTGTCAAAAGACCTTCCACCACTTAGCAATATTAGGACCTGTGGAACTCCTTCCACACGCCTGCTTCCGGCAGAGGCCGTGAAGACATTATCCCTCAAGTACTGGAGAGCTGCTCCAGTGTTGAGGGGTCTTCCGCCTTTGTGCCTCAAACCTCTGACCGTGTCAAGGATCTCGCCCTTAGTGGTGTATGTGTTCAGATAGAACTGGACAGCTGGATCTCTGCTGTACTGAACCACTGAGACACGGTCTTTGTTGTCATCCACACTGAGTGTCTCTACTACTCTTTGGACAAAGTCTCGCATAGCTGGGAATCCAGTTCTAGTACCATCAGATCCATCCAACAAGAACACAAGATCCCTTCCTGGTAGCTGTCTCTCCACTAGGGAACATAAAATTTCAGACATATTTAAGTTCATGTGTCAAATGCTGCCAGTGTGAAAGTCAGATGGCAAAAGCTAGCCTCGATGTCTACAACTTGCTCTGTTAATGCTGGCAAAACTCTTTTGTCAAAGTGGCACTGGCTGACCTCAACTTAGTGAAATACACTTGTTCAATTTGCGTCCTACCATGAGTGTGGAATGTAAAAATCTGTCACTTTCTTACCAGTCACTGTTGGTGTCATGGGCGTGGCCCTCCCTAGCACCGTGCTCATTACAGAGGAGAGCTGTTCTTGGATATCGGGGAGGTCAGTGAATTCAGACACTGATAGAGCGTAAGTAGGCTCATATGATATCTTCTGCAGCTCTCTACTATCAGAGTTCCTTGTTCCAATGCCAACAACATAGATGCCCTGCTGTTTTAGAGCAGAGGCTGGGGTATCTACATTATCAAAAGACCTTCCACCATTTAGCAGGATCAACATTTGTGGAACACCTTGGAGGCGCCTGCTCCCGGAGGAGTTTGTGAAGACGTTGTCCCTGACATATTGGAGGGCTGCCCCGGTGTTGAGGGGTCTGCCTCCTCTGTGTCTCAGCCCTCTGACCGAATCCAGAATATCATCTCGTGTTTTGTATCTTTTCAGATCGAAATGGACCTCTGCATCTCTGCTGTACTGGACCACAGAGACACGGTCTTTGTTTTCTCCCACATTGAGTTTCTCCACCACTCTCTCAACAAAATCACGCATGGCAGGGAAGCCATTCCTTGTGGCATCAGAACCATCCAGAAGGAATACGATATCCTTTTTGGCAGTGTCAACTGAGGAAATACAGGAAGACAAAAAATAAAAAACCTTTGCAAAAAGTACTCTGATTGACTGATCATCAAGTGGTGGACATTTTTTTGAAAATCACTTAACAGTGCCTACTTCAATTTTAAACAGTGGGAAAGCACACCACCACCTCTCTTTCAATGAACACCTGGAGCTAAACAAGTATCACAATTTCTTTGCCACATGTAAGGTAAAACAAGTGAGGTAGCATTTCGGGCCAGCAAGAGGCTGTGCTTGTTAACATACCAAATACAGTTGGTGATTCTGGGGCGACGCCAATAACCACAGCCTCCACGGAGGACTTAAGTTGCTGTTGGACACTGGGAAGGTCAGTGAATTCAGACACAGATAGAGCATAACTGGGATCGTGGGATATCTTCTGCAGTTCGATGCTATCAGAGCTCCCGGTTCCAATTGTAATGGTCAAGACACCCAGCTGTTTGAGAGCAGAGGCTGGTACATCAACACTGTCAGAAGACTTGCCACCACTTAGCAATATTAGGACCTGTGGAACTCCTTCCACACGCCTGCTTCCGGCAGAGGCCGTGAAGACATTATCCCTCAAGTACTGGAGAGCTGCTCCAGTGTTGAGGGGTCTTCCACCTTTGTGCCTCAAACCTCTGACACTGTCAAGGATCTCGCCCTTTGTCGGGTATGTGTTCAGATAGAACTGGACAGCTGGCTCTCTGCTGTACTGAACCACTGAGACACGGTCTTTGTTGTCATCCACACTGAGTGTCTCTACTACTCTTTGGACAAAGTCTCGCATAGCTGGGAATCCAGTTCTAGTACCATCAGATCCATCCAACAAGAACACAAGATCCCTTCCTGGTAGCTGTCTCTCCACTGGGGAACATAAAATTTCAGACATATTTAAGTTCATGTGTCAACTAGTTCCAGTGTGAAAGTCAGATGACAAAATGTAGCCTCAACATTTACAACTTGCTCTATTAATGCTGCCAAAACTATTTTACACTGAGTGCAACTGGCTGACCTCAACTTAGTAAAATACACATGTTCAACTTGCATTCTACCCTGATGGTGGAATGTAAAATTCTGTCACTTTCTTACCAGTCACTGTTGGTGTCAAGGGCGTGGCCCTCCTTTGCACTGTGCTCATTACAGAGGACAGCTGTTGTTGGATATTGGGGAGGTCCGTAAATTCAGACACCGATAGAGCATAACTGGGATCGTGGGATATCTTGAGCAGTTCGCTGCTATCAGAGGCCCTGGTTCCAATCGCAATGGTCAAGACACCCAGCTGTTTGAGAGCAGAGGCTGGTACATCAACACTGTCAAAAGACCTTCCACCACTTAGCAATATTAGGACCTGTGGAACTCCTTCCACACGCCTGCTTCCGGCAGAGGCCGTGAAGACATTATCCCTCAAGTACTGGAGAGCTGCTCCAGTGTTGAGGGGTCTTCCGCCTTTGTGCCTCAAACCTCTGACCGTGTCAAGGATCTCGCCCTTAGTGGTGTATGTGTTCAGATAGAACTGGACAGCTGGATCTCTGCTGTACTGAACCACTGAGACACGGTCTTTGTTGTCATCCACACTGAGTGTCTCTACTACTCTTTGGACAAAGTCTCGCATAGCTGGGAATCCAGTTCTAGTACCATCAGATCCATCCAACAAGAACACAAGATCCCTTCCTGGTAGCTGTCTCTCCACTAGGGAACATAAAATTTCAGACATATTTAAGTTCATGTGTCAAATGCTGCCAGTGTGAAAGTCAGATGGCAAAAGCTAGCCTCGATGTCTACAACTTGCTCTGTTAATGCTGGCAAAACTCTTTTGTCAAAGTGGCACTGGCTGACCTCAACTTAGTGAAATACACTTGTTCAATTTGCGTCCTACCATGAGTGTGGAATGTAAAAATCTGTCACTTTCTTACCAGTCACTGTTGGTGTCATGGGCGTGGCCCTCCCTAGCACCGTGCTCATTACAGAGGAGAGCTGTTCTTGGATATCGGGGAGGTCAGTGAATTCAGACACTGATAGAGCGTAAGTAGGCTCATATGATATCTTCTGCAGCTCTCTACTATCAGAGTTCCTTGTTCCAATGCCAACAACATAGATGCCCTGCTGTTTTAGAGCAGAGGCTGGGGTATCTACATTATCAAAAGACCTTCCACCATTTAGCAGGATCAACATTTGTGGAACACCTTGGAGGCGCCTGCTCCCGGAGGAGTTTGTGAAGACGTTGTCCCTGACATATTGGAGGGCTGCCCCGGTGTTGAGGGGTCTGCCTCCTCTGTGTCTCAGCCCTCTGACCGAATCCAGAATATCATCTCGTGTTTTGTATCTTTTCAGATCGAAATGGACCTCTGCATCTCTGCTGTACTGGACCACAGAGACACGGTCTTTGTTTTCTCCCACATTGAGTTTCTCCACCACTCTCTCAACAAAATCACGCATGGCAGGGAAGCCATTCCTTGTGGCATCAGAACCATCCAGAAGGAATACGATATCCTTTTTGGCAGTGTCAACTGAGGAAATACAGGAAGACAAAAAATAAAAAACCTTTGCAAAAAGTACTCTGATTGACTGATCATCAAGTGGTGGACATTTTTTTGAAAATCACTTAACAGTGCCTACTTCAATTTTAAACAGTGGGAAAGCACACCACCACCTCTCTTTCAATGAACACCTGGAGCTAAACAAGTATCACAATTTCTTTGCCACATGTAAGGTAAAACAAGTGAGGTAGCATTTCGGGCCAGCAAGAGGCTGTGCTTGTTAACATACCAAATACAGTTGGTGATTCTGGGGCGACGCCAATAACCACAGCCTCCACGGAGGACTTAAGTTGCTGTTGGACACTGGGAAGGTCAGTGAATTCAGACACAGATAGAGCATAACTGGGATCGTGGGATATCTTCTGCAGTTCGATGCTATCAGAGCTCCCGGTTCCAATTGTAATGGTCAAGACACCCAGCTGTTTGAGAGCAGAGGCTGGTACATCAACACTGTCAGAAGACTTGCCACCACTTAGCAATATTAGGACCTGTGGAACTCCTTCCACACGCCTGCTTCCGGCAGAGGCCGTGAAGACATTATCCCTCAAGTACTGGAGAGCTGCTCCAGTGTTGAGGGGTCTTCCACCTTTGTGCCTCAAACCTCTGACACTGTCAAGGATCTCGCCCTTTGTCGGGTATGTGTTCAGATAGAACTGGACAGCTGGCTCTCTGCTGTACTGAACCACTGAGACACGGTCTTTGTTGTCATCCACACTGAGTGTCTCTACTACTCTTTGGACAAAGTCTCGCATAGCTGGGAATCCAGTTCTAGTACCATCAGATCCATCCAACAAGAACACAAGATCCCTTCCTGGTAGCTGTCTCTCCACTGGGGAACATAAAATTTCAGACATATTTAAGTTCATGTGTCAACTAGTTCCAGTGTGAAAGTCAGATGACAAAATGTAGCCTCAACATTTACAACTTGCTCTATTAATGCTGCCAAAACTATTTTACACTGAGTGCAACTGGCTGACCTCAACTTAGTAAAATACACATGTTCAACTTGCATTCTACCCTGATGGTGGAATGTAAAATTCTGTCACTTTCTTACCAGTCACTGTTGGTGTCAAGGGCGTGGCCCTCCTTTGCACTGTGCTCATTACAGAGGACAGCTGTTGTTGGATATTGGGGAGGTCCGTAAATTCAGACACCGATAGAGCATAACTGGGATCGTGGGATATCTTGAGCAGTTCGCTGCTATCAGAGGCCCTGGTTCCAATCGCAATGGTCAAGACACCCAGCTGTTTGAGAGCAGAGGCTGGTACATCAACACTGTCAAAAGACCTTCCACCACTTAGCAATATTAGGACCTGTGGAACTCCTTCCACACGCCTGCTTCCGGCAGAGGCCGTGAAGACATTATCCCTCAAGTACTGGAGAGCTGCTCCAGTGTTGAGGGGTCTTCCGCCTTTGTGCCTCAAACCTCTGACCGTGTCAAGGATCTCGCCCTTAGTGGTGTATGTGTTCAGATAGAACTGGACAGCTGGATCTCTGCTGTACTGAACCACTGAGACACGGTCTTTGTTGTCATCCACACTGAGTGTCTCTACTACTCTTTGGACAAAGTCTCGCATAGCTGGGAATCCAGTTCTAGTACCATCAGATCCATCCAACAAGAACACAAGATCCCTTCCTGGTAGCTGTCTCTCCACTAGGGAACATAAAATTTCAGACATATTTAAGTTCATGTGTCAAATGCTGCCAGTGTGAAAGTCAGATGGCAAAAGCTAGCCTCGATGTCTACAACTTGCTCTGTTAATGCTGGCAAAACTCTTTTGTCAAAGTGGCACTGGCTGACCTCAACTTAGTGAAATACACTTGTTCAATTTGCGTCCTACCATGAGTGTGGAATGTAAAAATCTGTCACTTTCTTACCAGTCACTGTTGGTGTCATGGGCGTGGCCCTCCCTAGCACCGTGCTCATTACAGAGGAGAGCTGTTCTTGGATATCGGGGAGGTCAGTGAATTCAGACACTGATAGAGCGTAAGTAGGCTCATATGATATCTTCTGCAGCTCTCTACTATCAGAGTTCCTTGTTCCAATGCCAACAACATAGATGCCCTGCTGTTTTAGAGCAGAGGCTGGGGTATCTACATTATCAAAAGACCTTCCACCATTTAGCAGGATCAACATTTGTGGAACACCTTGGAGGCGCCTGCTCCCGGAGGAGTTTGTGAAGACGTTGTCCCTGACATATTGGAGGGCTGCCCCGGTGTTGAGGGGTCTGCCTCCTCTGTGTCTCAGCCCTCTGACCGAATCCAGAATATCATCTCGTGTTTTGTATCTTTTCAGATCGAAATGGACCTCTGCATCTCTGCTGTACTGGACCACAGAGACACGGTCTTTGTTTTCTCCCACATTGAGTTTCTCCACCACTCTCTCAACAAAATCACGCATGGCAGGGAAGCCATTCCTTGTGGCATCAGAACCATCCAGAAGGAATACGATATCCTTTTTGGCAGTGTCAACTGAGGAAATACAGGAAGACAAAAAATAAAAAACCTTTGCAAAAAGTACTCTGATTGACTGATCATCAAGTGGTGGACATTTTTTTGAAAATCACTTAACAGTGCCTACTTCAATTTTAAACAGTGGGAAAGCACACCACCACCTCTCTTTCAATGAACACCTGGAGCTAAACAAGTATCACAATTTCTTTGCCACATGTAAGGTAAAACAAGTGAGGTAGCATTTCGGGCCAGCAAGAGGCTGTGCTTGTTAACATACCAAATACAGTTGGTGATTCTGGGGCGACGCCAATAACCACAGCCTCCACGGAGGACTTAAGTTGCTGTTGGACACTGGGAAGGTCAGTGAATTCAGACACAGATAGAGCATAACTGGGATCGTGGGATATCTTCTGCAGTTCGATGCTATCAGAGCTCCCGGTTCCAATTGTAATGGTCAAGACACCCAGCTGTTTGAGAGCAGAGGCTGGTACATCAACACTGTCAGAAGACTTGCCACCACTTAGCAATATTAGGACCTGTGGAACTCCTTCCACACGCCTGCTTCCGGCAGAGGCCGTGAAGACATTATCCCTCAAGTACTGGAGAGCTGCTCCAGTGTTGAGGGGTCTTCCACCTTTGTGCCTCAAACCTCTGACACTGTCAAGGATCTCGCCCTTTGTCGGGTATGTGTTCAGATAGAACTGGACAGCTGGCTCTCTGCTGTACTGAACCACTGAGACACGGTCTTTGTTGTCATCCACACTGAGTGTCTCTACTACTCTTTGGACAAAGTCTCGCATAGCTGGGAATCCAGTTCTAGTACCATCAGATCCATCCAACAAGAACACAAGATCCCTTCCTGGTAGCTGTCTCTCCACTGGGGAACATAAAATTTCAGACATATTTAAGTTCATGTGTCAACTAGTTCCAGTGTGAAAGTCAGATGACAAAATGTAGCCTCAACATTTACAACTTGCTCTATTAATGCTGCCAAAACTATTTTACACTGAGTGCAACTGGCTGACCTCAACTTAGTAAAATACACATGTTCAACTTGCATTCTACCCTGATGGTGGAATGTAAAATTCTGTCACTTTCTTACCAGTCACTGTTGGTGTCAAGGGCGTGGCCCTCCTTTGCACTGTGCTCATTACAGAGGACAGCTGTTGTTGGATATTGGGGAGGTCCGTAAATTCAGACACCGATAGAGCATAACTGGGATCGTGGGATATCTTGAGCAGTTCGCTGCTATCAGAGGCCCTGGTTCCAATCGCAATGGTCAAGACACCCAGCTGTTTGAGAGCAGAGGCTGGTACATCAACACTGTCAAAAGACCTTCCACCACTTAGCAATATTAGGACCTGTGGAACTCCTTCCACACGCCTGCTTCCGGCAGAGGCCGTGAAGACATTATCCCTCAAGTACTGGAGAGCTGCTCCAGTGTTGAGGGGTCTTCCGCCTTTGTGCCTCAAACCTCTGACCGTGTCAAGGATCTCGCCCTTAGTGGTGTATGTGTTCAGATAGAACTGGACAGCTGGATCTCTGCTGTACTGAACCACTGAGACACGGTCTTTGTTGTCATCCACACTGAGTGTCTCTACTACTCTTTGGACAAAGTCTCGCATAGCTGGGAATCCAGTTCTAGTACCATCAGATCCATCCAACAAGAACACAAGATCCCTTCCTGGTAGCTGTCTCTCCACTAGGGAACATAAAATTTCAGACATATTTAAGTTCATGTGTCAAATGCTGCCAGTGTGAAAGTCAGATGGCAAAAGCTAGCCTCGATGTCTACAACTTGCTCTGTTAATGCTGGCAAAACTCTTTTGTCAAAGTGGCACTGGCTGACCTCAACTTAGTGAAATACACTTGTTCAATTTGCGTCCTACCATGAGTGTGGAATGTAAAAATCTGTCACTTTCTTACCAGTCACTGTTGGTGTCATGGGCGTGGCCCTCCCTAGCACCGTGCTCATTACAGAGGAGAGCTGTTCTTGGATATCGGGGAGGTCAGTGAATTCAGACACTGATAGAGCGTAAGTAGGCTCATATGATATCTTCTGCAGCTCTCTACTATCAGAGTTCCTTGTTCCAATGCCAACAACATAGATGCCCTGCTGTTTTAGAGCAGAGGCTGGGGTATCTACATTATCAAAAGACCTTCCACCATTTAGCAGGATCAACATTTGTGGAACACCTTGGAGGCGCCTGCTCCCGGAGGAGTTTGTGAAGACGTTGTCCCTGACATATTGGAGGGCTGCCCCGGTGTTGAGGGGTCTGCCTCCTCTGTGTCTCAGCCCTCTGACCGAATCCAGAATATCATCTCGTGTTTTGTATCTTTTCAGATCGAAATGGACCTCTGCATCTCTGCTGTACTGGACCACAGAGACACGGTCTTTGTTTTCTCCCACATTGAGTTTCTCCACCACTCTCTCAACAAAATCACGCATGGCAGGGAAGCCATTCCTTGTGGCATCAGAACCATCCAGAAGGAATACGATATCCTTTTTGGCAGTGTCAACTGAGGAAATACAGGAAGACAAAAAATAAAAAACCTTTGCAAAAAGTACTCTGATTGACTGATCATCAAGTGGTGGACATTTTTTTGAAAATCACTTAACAGTGCCTACTTCAATTTTAAACAGTGGGAAAGCACACCACCACCTCTCTTTCAATGAACACCTGGAGCTAAACAAGTATCACAATTTCTTTGCCACATGTAAGGTAAAACAAGTGAGGTAGCATTTCGGGCCAGCAAGAGGCTGTGCTTGTTAACATACCAAATACAGTTGGTGATTCTGGGGCGACGCCAATAACCACAGCCTCCACGGAGGACTTAAGTTGCTGTTGGACACTGGGAAGGTCAGTGAATTCAGACACAGATAGAGCATAACTGGGATCGTGGGATATCTTCTGCAGTTCGATGCTATCAGAGCTCCCGGTTCCAATTGTAATGGTCAAGACACCCAGCTGTTTGAGAGCAGAGGCTGGTACATCAACACTGTCAGAAGACTTGCCACCACTTAGCAATATTAGGACCTGTGGAACTCCTTCCACACGCCTGCTTCCGGCAGAGGCCGTGAAGACATTATCCCTCAAGTACTGGAGAGCTGCTCCAGTGTTGAGGGGTCTTCCACCTTTGTGCCTCAAACCTCTGACACTGTCAAGGATCTCGCCCTTTGTCGGGTATGTGTTCAGATAGAACTGGACAGCTGGCTCTCTGCTGTACTGAACCACTGAGACACGGTCTTTGTTGTCATCCACACTGAGTGTCTCTACTACTCTTTGGACAAAGTCTCGCATAGCTGGGAATCCAGTTCTAGTACCATCAGATCCATCCAACAAGAACACAAGATCCCTTCCTGGTAGCTGTCTCTCCACTGGGGAACATAAAATTTCAGACATATTTAAGTTCATGTGTCAACTAGTTCCAGTGTGAAAGTCAGATGACAAAATGTAGCCTCAACATTTACAACTTGCTCTATTAATGCTGCCAAAACTATTTTACACTGAGTGCAACTGGCTGACCTCAACTTAGTAAAATACACATGTTCAACTTGCATTCTACCCTGATGGTGGAATGTAAAATTCTGTCACTTTCTTACCAGTCACTGTTGGTGTCAAGGGCGTGGCCCTCCTTTGCACTGTGCTCATTACAGAGGACAGCTGTTGTTGGATATTGGGGAGGTCCGTAAATTCAGACACCGATAGAGCATAACTGGGATCGTGGGATATCTTGAGCAGTTCGCTGCTATCAGAGGCCCTGGTTCCAATCGCAATGGTCAAGACACCCAGCTGTTTGAGAGCAGAGGCTGGTACATCAACACTGTCAAAAGACCTTCCACCACTTAGCAATATTAGGACCTGTGGAACTCCTTCCACACGCCTGCTTCCGGCAGAGGCCGTGAAGACATTATCCCTCAAGTACTGGAGAGCTGCTCCAGTGTTGAGGGGTCTTCCGCCTTTGTGCCTCAAACCTCTGACCGTGTCAAGGATCTCGCCCTTAGTGGTGTATGTGTTCAGATAGAACTGGACAGCTGGATCTCTGCTGTACTGAACCACTGAGACACGGTCTTTGTTGTCATCCACACTGAGTGTCTCTACTACTCTTTGGACAAAGTCTCGCATAGCTGGGAATCCAGTTCTAGTACCATCAGATCCATCCAACAAGAACACAAGATCCCTTCCTGGTAGCTGTCTCTCCACTAGGGAACATAAAATTTCAGACATATTTAAGTTCATGTGTCAAATGCTGCCAGTGTGAAAGTCAGATGGCAAAAGCTAGCCTCGATGTCTACAACTTGCTCTGTTAATGCTGGCAAAACTCTTTTGTCAAAGTGGCACTGGCTGACCTCAACTTAGTGAAATACACTTGTTCAATTTGCGTCCTACCATGAGTGTGGAATGTAAAAATCTGTCACTTTCTTACCAGTCACTGTTGGTGTCATGGGCGTGGCCCTCCCTAGCACCGTGCTCATTACAGAGGAGAGCTGTTCTTGGATATCGGGGAGGTCAGTGAATTCAGACACTGATAGAGCGTAAGTAGGCTCATATGATATCTTCTGCAGCTCTCTACTATCAGAGTTCCTTGTTCCAATGCCAACAACATAGATGCCCTGCTGTTTTAGAGCAGAGGCTGGGGTATCTACATTATCAAAAGACCTTCCACCATTTAGCAGGATCAACATTTGTGGAACACCTTGGAGGCGCCTGCTCCCGGAGGAGTTTGTGAAGACGTTGTCCCTGACATATTGGAGGGCTGCCCCGGTGTTGAGGGGTCTGCCTCCTCTGTGTCTCAGCCCTCTGACCGAATCCAGAATATCATCTCGTGTTTTGTATCTTTTCAGATCGAAATGGACCTCTGCATCTCTGCTGTACTGGACCACAGAGACACGGTCTTTGTTTTCTCCCACATTGAGTTTCTCCACCACTCTCTCAACAAAATCACGCATGGCAGGGAAGCCATTCCTTGTGGCATCAGAACCATCCAGAAGGAATACGATATCCTTTTTGGCAGTGTCAACTGAGGAAATACAGGAAGACAAAAAATAAAAAACCTTTGCAAAAAGTACTCTGATTGACTGATCATCAAGTGGTGGACATTTTTTTGAAAATCACTTAACAGTGCCTACTTCAATTTTAAACAGTGGGAAAGCACACCACCACCTCTCTTTCAATGAACACCTGGAGCTAAACAAGTATCACAATTTCTTTGCCACATGTAAGGTAAAACAAGTGAGGTAGCATTTCGGGCCAGCAAGAGGCTGTGCTTGTTAACATACCAAATACAGTTGGTGATTCTGGGGCGACGCCAATAACCACAGCCTCCACGGAGGACTTAAGTTGCTGTTGGACACTGGGAAGGTCAGTGAATTCAGACACAGATAGAGCATAACTGGGATCGTGGGATATCTTGAGCAGTTCGCTGCTATCAGAGGCCCTGGTTCCAATCGCAATGGTCAAGACACCCAGCTGTTTGAGAGCAGAGGCTGGTACATCAACACTGTCAAAAGACCTTCCACCACTTAGCAATATTAGGACCTGTGGAACTCCTTCCACACGCCTGCTTCCGGCAGAGGCCGTGAAGACATTATCCCTCAAGTACTGGAGAGCTGCTCCAGTGTTGAGGGGTCTTCCGCCTTTGTGCCTCAAACCTCTGACCGTGTCAAGGATCTCGCCCTTAGTGGTGTATGTGTTCAGATAGAACTGGACAGCTGGATCTCTGCTGTACTGAACCACTGAGACACGGTCTTTGTTGTCATCCACACTGAGTGTCTCTACTACTCTTTGGACAAAGTCTCGCATAGCTGGGAATCCAGTTCTAGTACCATCAGATCCATCCAACAAGAACACAAGATCCCTTCCTGGTAGCTGTCTCTCCACTAGGGAACATAAAATTTCAGACATATTTAAGTTCATGTGTCAAATGCTGCCAGTGTGAAAGTCAGATGGCAAAAGCTAGCCTCGATGTCTACAACTTGCTCTGTTAATGCTGGCAAAACTCTTTTGTCAAAGTGGCACTGGCTGACCTCAACTTAGTGAAATACACTTGTTCAATTTGCGTCCTACCATGATGTGGAATGTAAAAATCTGTCACTTTCTTACCAGTCACTGTTGGTGTCATGGGCGTGGCCCTCCCTAGCACCGTGCTCATTACAGAGGAGAGCTGTTCTTGGATATCGGGGAGGTCAGTGAATTCAGACACTGATAGAGCGTAAGTAGGCTCATATGATATCTTCTGCAGCTCTCTACTATCAGAGTTCCTTGTTCCAATGCCAACAACATAGATGCCCTGCTGTTTTAGAGCAGAGGCTGGGGTATCTACATTATCAAAAGACCTTCCACCATTTAGCAGGATCAACATTTGTGGAACACCTTGGAGGCGCCTGCTCCCGGAGGAGTTTGTGAAGACGTTGTCCCTGACATATTGGAGGGCTGCCCCGGTGTTGAGGGGTCTGCCTCCTCTGTGTCTCAGCCCTCTGACCGAATCCAGAATATCATCTCGTGTTTTGTATCTTTTCAGATCGAAATGGACCTCTGCATCTCTGCTGTACTGGACCACAGAGACACGGTCTTTGTTTTCTCCCACATTGAGTTTCTCCACCACTCTCTCAACAAAATCACGCATGGCAGGGAAGCCATTCCTTGTGGCATCAGAACCATCCAGAAGGAATACGATATCCTTTTTGGCAGTGTCAACTGAGGAAATACAGGAAGACAAAAAATAAAAAACTTTGCAAAAAGTACTCTGATTGACTGATCATCAAGTGGTGGACATTTTTTTGAAAATCACTTAACAGTGCCTACTTCAATTTTAAACAGTGGGAAAGCACACCACCACCTCTCTTTCAATGAACACCTGGAGCTAAACAAGTATCACAATTTCTTTGCCACATGTAAGGTAAAACAAGTCAGGTAGCATTTCGGGCCAGCAAGAGGCTGTGCTTGTTAACATACCAAATACAGTTGGTGATTCTGGGGCGACGCCAATAACCACAGCCTCCACGGAGGACTTAAGTTGCTGTTGGACACTGGGAAGGTCAGTGAATTCAGACACAGATAGAGCATAACTGGGATCGTGGGATATCTTCTGCAGTTCGAGGCTATCAGAGCTCCCGGTTCCAATTGTAATGGTCAAGACACCCAGCTGTTTGAGAGCAGAGGCTGGTACATCAACACTGTCAGAAGACTTGCCACCACTTAGCAATATTAGGACCTGTGGAACTCCTTCCACACGCCTGCTTCCGGCAGAGGCCGTGAAGACATTATCCCTCAAGTACTGGAGAGCTGCTCCAGTGTTGAGGGGCCTTCCGCCTTTGTGCCTCAAACCTCTGACACTGTCAAGGATCTCGCCCTTTGTCGGGTATGTGTTCAGATAGAACTGGACAGCTGGATCTCTGCTGTACTGAACCACTGAGACACGGTCTTTGTTGTCATCCACACTGAGTGTCTCTACTACTCTTTGGACAAAGTCTCGCATAGCTGGGAATCCAGTTCTAGTACCATCAGATCCATCCAACAAGAACACAAGATCCCTTCTTGGTAGCTGTCTCTCCACTGGGGAACATAAAATTTCAGACATATTTAAGTTCATGTGTCAACTAGTTCCAGTGTGAAAGTCAGATGACAAAATGTAGCCTCAACATTTACAACTTGCTCTATTAATGCTGCCAAAACTATTTTACACTGAGTGCAACTGGCTGACCTCAACTTAGTAAAATACACATGTTCAACTTGCATTCTACCCTGATGGTGGAATGTAAAATTCTGTCACTTTCTTACCAGTCACTGTTGGTGTCAAGGGCGTGGCCCTCCTTTGCACTGTGCTCATTACAGAGGACAGCTGTTGTTGGATATTGGGGAGGTCCGTAAATTCAGACACAGATAGAGCATAACTGGGATCGTGGGATATCTTGAGCAGTTCGATGCTATCAGATTTGACCTCATCTTAGTAAAATACCCTTCAATTGCGTGCTACCAATATTGTGGAATGTAATGTAATGTTATTGTCTTTAATTCACCAAAGTGAATTAATTATCATTTCTTAGGGGTAGGTTATTGGAAGAGATGTTTATTTACGTGTATTTGTGCGTTGAATAAAATTGTCAAAAAAAAAGACAAAGACAAATCAATTTTGAGATTTTCTTAGAAAGATGTATTGAAAAATGTAGAAACAAAAACAAAACTCTATATGTAATTTTCAAATTGTTCATCTTCAAGATCATTTTACCAAACTATTAAAAATGTATGTATTCATAATTTTATTCTTACTGTATCTGGGTGGCACTGGAGCAGTGGATAAGACAGATACCACTTTGGGTAAAAGCTTCAGATAAACGTCTTATTATTTATTAAATAAATTAATAATGCAATAATGCACCCATTTTGAGAGGTCTTTCACCTTTGTTTGAGAGCCTAATGACAGCTGCATTGCTGAACTGAATCACATCAGTTCTGTCTTTATTTGGTTCAATGTCTTTCAATTATTTTGGACAGGAAATCTTTACTGGCTAAAAATCCATTTCTGGTATTTTCAGATCCATCCAAAATAAAAACTACAGTCCTGTGCAATAGGTTTAGTCAGGTGTGGAAACAATGCTGTAAAGTAAGAATGCTTTCAAAAATAGACATGTTAATAGATTATTTTTATCGTTTAACAAAATCCAAAGTGAGTGAACAGAAGAAAAATCTAAACCAAATAAATATTTGGTGTGACCACCCTTTTCCTTTAAATACACAATCATTAACGGAATTGGGCCTGTCTTCAACTTCATCTTTCCAAGAGCATTGTAAAACATGACAACAGTGGGAGTCATCTGGGTGATGCTGTGAAACTTGGCTTAACGTTACTTGGACAGGCGCTCCATTGAGCTACGTGCTCAGTGACAGTCGGATGATAATGGTCATTAAACTCTGTGGAAAATGTTCACAGACTCTCTGAAAAACTTCAGAGTCATCCAGAAGTTTGCCCAGAGGAAAAACTGCCGTGCCACCTTTCTCCTCAAGTGAGTCCTCAGCTGCGGTGAGTGAAAGCATGTTTCATGATCCTGACTCTGTGCTTGTGGTCCATGCATGGGCCAAATTGTTGTACTGGATCGATTGATACTAGGCTATGGATTATGTTTTTGTCATAATGTTATTGTCATATAGCCGCTTTCATACTGCTTTATCATCCAGGCTTATTACTCCAATATCCTGGCGTGCTGCGCTGTATGAAACATACTGAGCCGGGCGGACATTCTTCCTGTTTTGATTGCAGGATCTCTGTGGAAAGCGACTATAGAAAGGGTGAGGATCCCTAAAACGTCTGTGTGCGTCATTGTTGACTTCAGTGGTGTTGAGCTCACTGCTGTACTGTAGATTAATTTGTTCTGAGCTTGTTTGTGTCGGCTTGAATACTGGATTCTTAATTTAGGTTTGTGACAGTGGTACTGTAACTTGGTCATTAAAAAATGCTAATTTACATTATAGTATATGACACATACCTTTCTAAAGGTTATTGCACAAGGTATCAATATCTGTATAAATAAATGTATATATTTAAAGTGCTACTGTACTGTATAAAATATTGCACATAATCTCTCAAAGTTTTCAAGTGTAAAGAAGATGAAGGAGACCTGCAGTGATGTTATGGACCACACAGAGCCCTGATCTCAACATCATCCAGTCTGTCTGGGATTACATGAAGACACAGAAGCAAGTGAGGCTGCCTAAATCCACAGAAGTATGGTGGGTAGTTCTCCAAGATGTTTGGGCAAACCTACCTGCCGAGTTTCTTCAAAAACTATGTGCAAGTGTACCTAGAAGAAATGATGCTGTTTTGAAGGGTGGTCACACCAAATATTGGTTTGATTTAGATTTTTCTTCTGTTCATTCATTTTGCATTTTGTTCATTGGTAAATATAATCTATTAACCATTCAGCATTTTTCCACAAAGCCTAAAACTTTTGCACAGTATTGTACGTTTCTTCCTTTCTCATCACTTTAATGGATATAATTTTTATGTTGTTAATCGCAATCAATTATTCAAATAAAGTACAATCTTACCTGCTTTAGTTTCCTTCTCAACTCCCATTCGAGTAAGATGGCTCATCAAACTTTGTTGAATTCGAGGGAGATTTACAAAGTCAGGGACTGAGTAAGCATAATTTTGGTCAGAGGAAATGACTTGCATCTCAGCTGTATTTGACATTCTTGATCCAATTGTAAATGTGACAACTCCTGCAGCCTTGAGCATACTTGCTGGCCCTCGTGGAGAATCTCTAGATCTTCCACCAGCCAACATGACAAGTATCTGCTTTGCACCTTCATGATGTCTGCCTCCAGCATTTGAAATAAAGACATTATCCCTCACAAACTGCAGTGCTGCTCCAATATGCTGCGGCCCTCCACCTTTTGGTTTTAGGCTTGCAATGTGCTTACGAACATCATCTCTTGTGTTGTAAGTATTCAGATTGAAATTGAGTTCAGCATTGTTGCTATATTGTACAACAGCAACTTTATCTTTTCCTTGGTCCAGGTCAAAGCTGTCAACCATTTTTGCAACAAATTCTCGTATAGCAGAAAATCTACTCCTGACATCATCAGATCCATCAATGAGAAAGACAATATCTCTATTGGTGCTGGAGCTTGAACCTAGAAAAGTCCAGAGTCATGTAAATATTGTTAGTTAACAATTCAACAGAAATCGGATTACTGTTGATGTAACTCAAATGTGTGCAGTTTACAGGGTGTGAATATCTTATTATATGCATCTATAAATTAAAAATGTATAAAAGCTATAGTAAAATTAGTCAATTAAAATTAGTTCATTATTTTCACTCACCTACACCAGGGCTGACAGTGACTTTGTGAGATGCAATGACTGAGAGCAACTGTTGTCTCACAAGAGTAAAGTCTGAGATCTCCTTGATAAAATACTCTGCTATAGGACTGTGTGCTAATTGCTTAATCTCCAACCTATCTGCATTATTCACTCCAACACTGAAAAGGACAATTCCAGCGTTTTTCAGTCTCTCCACTGGATCTAAGACATCATCCTCTGACTTTTTCCCACTTAAGACAATCAGTATCTGTGGGACTCCATGCTGGGCCCTGCTTCCAGATGAAGCAGTGAACACATTGCTCTTCACATAGTCAAGGGCTACACCAGTGTTCACGTTTAACCCTCCTTTAAGTTTTACATTGCTCAAATTACTCAAGACATCCTCTTTCAGTGAGTATGTGTTCAGGAGAAAATCAGTAGTAGGCTCTGTGCTATACTGAATCAAAGCAACTTGTACTTTGCTTGGCCCAATTTCGATTTGCTTGACAAACTCTCTGACAAAATCCAAAATCTGTCTTTCACTTGCTCGCATATTATCAGATCCATCAAGGAGAAAAACAATATCGGCACTCTGGAGTTCTACTTCTGCAATTGTGGAAGTGTCTGAAATGGATACAAATACACATTTTATAAAACCAACATATTTGCTGTAAAAGCACAACCTTTTTAATATACCTGTGGTACATAATCAACTTTTATGTCTATGTATTATTTTTCTACTTCTTACCAATAATTGTTGGAAAATCTGTTGTTTCTTGCACACCCCTCAATGTGGCCTCCACAGATGGATGTATACTTTGCAGATTGTTAAAATCCGTGACATAAAAATAATGTGCTGGTGTGAAAGAGATGGTTTGCATTTCCAACGTATCAGCATTCTTTGTTCCAACACTAAAAGTCTTTATTCCATTTTCTTTGAGTGACTGTGCTGGTCCTCTGACATCATCCCCTGATCTCCCACCACTAAATACATACAGATATTGAGGTACTGATTCTGCACGTCTGCCTCCAACCGAAGCAGCAAATACATTGTCTCTGACAAACTCAAGTGCTTTGCCAATGTTGAGGGGTCTTCCCAACTTATGCCTCATTGTTCCAATGGAATTGAGCACATCGTTCTTGGATGAATAGGAATTCAAGTAGAAATTGACTGTGGCATCACGGCTGTATTGAACAACAGCCACCTGGTCTCTGTTCTCACCTAGATTTAAACTTTCAACAATTTTTTCAATAAAGGTTCTTATCCCTTCAAAGCCGTTTCGTGAGTCATGTGATCCATCAATAAGAAATACAACATCATGTTTCTTAGCATCTGCAACAAAGATAAAAGATGTAGAAACAAAGGCAATGTGATTTTTTGCAGGTAAAGGTTTAGCAGCTACAGTGACAGTCCCCTATAATTTAGCCATCTAAGTTCATTTTTATCCCTTCCCCCTTTCTCTTTACTAAACAATGTTTTTAGTTAAAAGGTAAAAAAAACTTTATCTTACCAAATCCCTTTGTGGCAGCAGTTTGCTCTACATGGTGGAAAGCATCTCTTAACAATGAAAACACATCCTGCTTAGCAGTAGGAAGCTCCTCATAATCAGTAATAGAGACCGCATAATTGGGCTCATGAGATATTGTCTGTAGCTCTAGGGTGTCAGCATCAGTTGTTCCAATGGCAATTGAAATAACACCAATCTCTTTAAGCAGTCTGACTGGGGTT